TATCTGTTAAGTACTTTACTTAGTGAAATAATTTAGAAGGAGACTTGTATGTTAATGTGCAAATATTAAAGATTATTTTATAGGTAGCCAGTGCAAGAAAACAAGGTAGGGATATGTATGAGAGAAGACAGGGGCTATGAGCAACTAGACGAGCCGCGGAGTTAAAAGCTTCATTTAAAGGATAGAGTGTAGAATCAGGCAGACCGTGGTAAAGCGAGTTACAATAATCAAACTTAGATAAAACTAATGAAGAAACAAGTAAGAAAGGAATGGGATCGTCAAAACAAGGCAAACGTTTTTTTTATTCTACGTAGATGGAAGTAAAAACTTTTAACAATATTAATCTGAGAAGAAAGAAATGGGCTAGAATCAAAGATAAAGCCTCCTAGACTACGAAACTTGTGAGAGACATCAAGAGTTTTAGAATCAGGTAAGATAATAAAAGGAATAGTAATAGGGTGTATAGATTTATTAAAACATATTAATTCAAACTTAAATGTATTTAGTTTAAGACACATAGAGTCACGCCAGGCGAGTCATAGAGATAAGTTATAAAGAACACCTTTGAGATTAGATGGATGAAAATAAGGGTAAATATGGAATCGTCAGCATATAGTTGACTAGTAAAAGAAAAAGTTTTAACAATACGAGGTAGTTCAGAAGTAGCCTATAGATTATAAATAGAAGAGGGCCAAGGATATATCTTTGAGGTACCCCAAAAGTAAGAGCATGGGAGTTAGAAGTAGCATTACTAAGAACAACAAGAAAAACAATTACAGAGTTTTCATTTTACGCTATGAAATACAATAATTTCCACCGGCGAGTAACAATGATGAAGAAACAATCGTGGAGCATGCAGTTGTCATTATTATCTAAACATTTGTATAGCACCCGTCACAATATTTTGCTATTACATGCGCTCTCACACAATATAAAGAAAACATCAAAATTCAAATGTCATCAAATTCTAACCATCCTATATCATAAATGTACTGTTAAATAAAATTAAATAAATAGGCTTCTGTCATCTTTTCCCTTTTCAGGCTCTTGGATTGTTGCTACTGCTAAATTTCCCTCCCTGACGATCGAATCAGTAAATTTGCTGTCAGCGCAAATGCAAAATAAAGTTGACGGTTGATCTCATAGGATTTTACACTAGAATTCTCTTTACAAAACAAAGAAAACAGGATCGGTGTTGATCGTTTTCTGGTGGTCGACAACGTCGGACGCACCACATCTTATTGATGATTTGATGGAAACTTCTACGTCTTTTAATTTTATTTGCCAAAATTTGTGAACTGCTTGATGAATGTGAGCCGAAAACAACTTTGATGACGCAGTATGTTTTAAATGTCATTCAAACGAGTTATCAATTTATTATTGCGTTGAAAACCGAAGTCCCTAATTTTTTCCGGTTATGCTCTTCATTCGATGGTTCAATGCATTTGGCAGCATGGAATTACACGCAGGTCCGGTTGATTTCTTTAAAATATTATAGTAGAAACTTTTTCAAAATTTTTGACGCATCTTACATGTGTGTCTGAAAAGATTTACATCCTACTCATAATGATTTATTATATAACTGTAAAGCAAATAAGCGCACGTGTCCCGCCTGTTTGTCTCCACAGCTGGCCCCTCTCGTATATTTCAAACTTAATTGGATCGACGAACACCATCTACATTTATTTCCATGCATAGTTTCTTCAAGTTGTTCTTTCGAATTATAATATTTTTTAAACAAATTTATTTCATGAAAACACATGAAATAAACCAAAAGAAACCAAAATTCCAAATAACAAGGAACCCCACAAAAATTAATAAAACACATTAATGTTCTCAAACGTCAGTATCAATTTTTAAAAACTAATTAGTATTGTTACAAAATTTTAGAATTAAAAGATATGCATAAAATTAAACTTGTTGCAACGAGAAAGAAAAAATTTTATCACGAAAAGAAAGAAATTCAAATAAAATGAATTAAATAAATTAGAATTACCTTAAATATAAAACCAAAATATAAAACCAAAATATAATATCAAAAAAATGTGTATAAACAAGAAAAAACAATAAAACAATATTGTATACTAAATAAAATTAATTAAGATGAACATAAAAGAAAATTTTTTAATTTATATTTAAATGGTCGATAAACGGTACAAGTTCTTATAAAATTTGGTAGCCTGTTCCATTTATATACCCCATAAAAACATATATTTCTATTGAGTAGTTTGGTTTTAACAATAGATTCTTTTAATTTTTTCAAAATTTGAACTCGGTGGTCTTGCCTTGATTTCATATTTAAATGAATCATGTAGGTAATTGTCTGATGGTCTTATAGCACTATTAAGAAATCGAAAAATAAAACAACAGCATTTAAGATAATTCATTTCAAATATCGATAGAATCTTAAATTTATTGAAAAGGTCTTTTTTATCTATATCGTTTTTAAAATTTATAATTTTTAGTGCTTTTCTTCAGACATTAAATAAAATTTCCAAATACGTCTTGAAAGTGTTACCCCATATTAGATTTCCATAGTATAGATGTGGATATATAAAAGCGTGATAACATTAAAATTAAAATTTTTTTTGGTAGAATATATTTTAGTCTGTTCATTATTCCCAAATTTCTATTTATTTTTTGCATGATGAAATCAATATGTTTTATAAAAATTAATTTCCGATCTATTATAATTCCAAATAATTTAAAATCTTCAATTCTGTCAATTACACTGTCACCTATCTTTAAAACAAATTCTTCATCGTTACAGTTCAATCTTTTAAAAATCATATACTTGGTTTTTGTAATATTTATATTAATTTTATTATAAATAGACTATGTGTGCAATTTTTCTAAACAATTATTTGTACAAACATTCAAATTATTTATATCCCTAGAAGTAGTGACCATTGTAGTGTCGTCTGCATAAACAATGAAATTAGAGATTTCGGTTGTATTGACGATATTATTGATAAACAGGATAAATAATTTTGGACCTAGAATATTCCCCTGTGTCACACCACTTACCACCCGACGAGTATCTGAGTTACAATGGTTTATTGAAACGTATTGAAATCTATTTGCGAGGTAACTACTGAACTACTTCAGTGCATGTCCTCTGATTCCGTAATGTTCCAATTTAAACAACAATATATCATGTGGAACGGAATCAAACGCTTTTGAGAAATCTAAAAACACAATCGAAATAACATGACCAGCATCATATTTAAAAACAATTTCATTAAAAAGCCTTATGAGTGCGTCTTCTGTGGAACAATTCTTTCGAAAACCAAATTGGTCATTTGTTAAAACATTATTGGCACTCATAAAAGACTCGGGTCTTATCTCGACAACCTTTTCCAACACCTTTGAGATACAACTTAATATACTAATTGGTCTATAATTTTTAACGTTATTGTGTGACCCAGACTTATAAACAGGAACAACCCTCGCAATCTTAAAGCCGTCTGGAAAAAATCCGGTGGAAAATGGAAAATTAAACAAATTGTAACAATATAGGCAAAATAGAATGATTATATATTTTAAAGATTTTGTTTGAAAATTTATAGTGATCTAAACAAGAAGAGTTAGATAACGATCTAACAATGTTAAATATTTCAGCCGGACAGGTTGGCATTAAGTAAATAGAGGAGGAGACTCCATTTTTCAAAAAAGCATGGAAATTATTGTTTGTCGGCAAACTTTTACTAAACAAATCAATAAAATAATTATTAAAGATGTTGGCAATTTCAAGCGGATCCTTGACAATGGATTCGTCTTTTAATAATGTGAAGCTTTGAGATTTAACCATTTTATTCATAAGCGAGTTAATAGCTTTCCATTTATCTTTACTATTAGTATCAGGCCTGCCAAACATATTATTATAGTAATTCATTTTTGATGCTAGAATAATCTTGTTGACTTCATTTTTAACTTTACAATATTTAGTTTTATTTTCATGTTTCATTATTTTTAAATTTTTTATATAGCTCGTTTTTCTTTCTAACGAGTTTTTTTAAATTTGTATTGTCATCCATGGTTGATATGAATTTTTGAAATTTTTTTGTTTTTTAGTAGTAAATGGACATGACCGACAAAATAGTTCATCGAAAATTTTGAAAAATTTTCTGAACGCCATCTGACAATCATTTTCTAGAAGCACATCAGACCAGTCATAAGCAGTCAGTGCATCGCTTAACTTATCTGAATTCCTTGCGCATGTGTTGAAAAATGAAAATTTATTTTCGTTGCAATCGTCTTTTGACGAAGAGAAAGTGATAAACAAGGGGGAGTGATCTGAGATATCAGATACCACCACATCACTGCAAAAACCACCCAAACAATTAGTAAATATAACATCTACTATTGTGGAGGATGCTGATGTTGTTCTCGTGGGAACATTTACAGTTGGATATATAGAGAGAAAGAGGCCATGAGATTCAATAACTGACGACTGGACAATGAATCAATTGACAGATCAATATTTATATCTCCAGTCAAATATATTATTATTTTTTCATTGTTTATTTTGCTTAGTAAAGTTTCCAATTGCTCTAGAAAAATAGCAACGTTAGAAGAAAGAGGCCTATAAATGTTTATAAAGAGTATGTTTGATTGCTTTTTGCTTAATATAATCTCAATGGAAACAGTTTCATAGGTTAAATTATCTTCGAATGTAATATAATTTCTTAATAAATAGTTTAACGTGTTTTTGACAAAAAATGCAACACCTCCACCGATTTTCTGCTTTCTATTTATATTTATAAAGTTGTAATTTTTAATAGCAATCATGGTATCATTTTTGTCGTTCAATCACGTCTCAGTCAAACAAACAACATCAAATTTAAATCCGATCTCATCAATTAACATCTGCAATTGATCCATTTTGTTACAAATGCTACGACAATTCAAACTTAGAACCCTAAAATTATGACTCAGGTGTGCAATAGGCAAAGACGTTTTGATTCCGTCTGGATCAAATCGGCTGCATTGATAGAATGACCTTTGGAAATTATCAAATAGTTCGCCCTTCATGTCCCGAAAAATTTTGTTCATAAAACGATTAATATAAAAGTTTAAAGGTAGTTTAATGTTTTTGACAGCCATTTTAATAATTTGTAATAGCTATCTTTTCGAAACGTTCACTTATGTCATTCAACTGTTGAGCTGAACTCAAGTCTTCCGACTGAACAATTTGTTCAACAACTTCCTTAGATGATGGTGTTTTGTTCGCTAATAGGACATTTGGGTCTGTATCTGTCGTCTTGAAGAGATTATTGTTTTGAGACACCTATTGGTTTGTGAATCTGACTGATTAAAAATCCAGTCTTTGATGACAGTACCCTCAGGCCAAAGCATGGGGTCACTAATAATTTTTGAATAATCGGTTTTCTTAATAATTATTTTAAATGATTTTGCTAAAATATTTTCAATGTTTTTATTAATTACGGGGTAAATTTTAATTGCTGATATGCCACTTTTTTCAGATAATTTAATATCTGAGCATCATCTATATCTGGGCTCATTCTCCCAAGATATAAAACAGATCTTTCAACCGGCTTAGGTGCTGCCCTCAGTTCACAAACCTTATTTGCTCCATAAACAACCTTAACATCCTTTTGAAGGACCCCGGAGTACAATGGCCGGGCGGTATTTGCCGGGTTTATTTTTTTTGCACTCTTAATATATTTTCTATTGTGGTGCAGCGTAAACTCCGTTGAATTGGGATTTTTTGTGTCTGAGTAAATGTTTTTTACGGTTTTAGTACTTTTAGTTTCAGTGAAGGTATCTGAGTTTGTCATATTTCCGATTTGCTGCAACCGGATTTTTTGTTTATTGCCATCCACTATGGTGTCTATGTTATTTACTAATGTGTCCAATATATCATTATTTTTACTGTCATGCTGATTAATAATTTTCTCTAGATTTTCTATTTTTTTGTCTTGCTCATTCACTATATCTTTCAATAAAATTTCAAAGCTCTTACATCTGTCATTATTATCTTCTTTCATTTCGTTTAATTTGTCATCTATTATTTTAATTTTGTCAAACAGAGCCTCAAAATGCCTGAAATCAAGACAGCAACGCAGGTTTCACAGCACCAAAAACAACCTTCGATTGCATTTATCTCCTTGTATGAAGCATCAGTAATGCCAATACATTTGAAATGGCAACATTGGCTACAGACCTTGCATGCCAACAATTCCTTGGCCGCCGCCTTATTACAGTGCATACATTTCTCTTTTGTCGCCTTTCCTGGCATTTCCTCTTACAAGAGGGACAAAAGGAGAGACAATAGCAACCTAAATGCAAAATTGGAACTTGTTATATAATATATTGTGAATTGTCAACCATGACACAGAGAAAGTTGAGGTAAGAATGGAATGGAATTTATTTGAGGTATGCAATGAAATTTAATGAAATTAGAAAGTAAATGATGAAATATTTGATATAAAACACTATTATTTATTGGAAAATAAATGTAACCATCTACCTGGATATGCAATATGTGATAGATATGCGATACACTTCTACTGTTGTTTGACAACAGAGATAATGTTATACACACACAGTCCACTATATTGTACAACCAATATACAAACTATTAAAGCCGTTCCAACAAAAAAAAAATAGTATACTTTTATTGTTGACTAGCAACAGATACAACACGCACACAATTTTGAACTATCCTTTACACTTTATTTGAATTTGTAAAGTAATTAGAAATATACGGAAAAATCAAAATCAATTCAAAAACTCCACTTTCGAAAAAAACAAAATAACCTCTGACAACGTCACAACACCTGCAGCCAATTTATCCGATAAGTTTAGAAAAAAATCGATATTTTATATGAATTTGTGAGCGAAGCACGGAGCATATAAAATGCGTCCAACCTCGACGAATGTTGAAAGAAATTTACAATTCAATCTCCGTTCTCGTCAGGAATGGTGCGGAACTCTTATCTTCATCGGAGTGGTCGAAGTAAACGGGGTCCGAATAATAAAATCATTTTTTTTAATGTTTATTTATATTGCACCAAATTTTTATTAAAATGTAACAACTGTTTCTTCTTAAATTTATAAATCATATTGGTTGAATAATACATAATGTTTAGAAAATGTAATATCGGGGAATAATGGTGAAATAATTTCCAAACATTCCTAGTTGATAGGTCCTCACCAATCATATTTACAGGGTTAAACATTCGCAAAATAAAATTTATGAATAATTTTTAATTAAAAATCAGTGATAACTGAAGAAACGAATGCGATTGCCTGAATTAGTTTTAACAGTACAGCTGCATGGGAGCGAACGTGGTCATCTGAACACAGAAAGTAACAAAGATTATCCTTTTGTGTGTAATAATGTAATATGCAACAACATTAAAACACAAAATGTAAAAGAAATCATTCCGTTGAAGAAAAAACAAACTAAAAACCAAAATTTACAAGCGAATAATTTTAACTAAACACAATGAAGAAGATGATGCAAACATTAGGTGTTCATCGGGTTTCTATCACAATATTGGTCAACCAATCAATATCATTTAATCATTCAATATCATGTCAGACAACCCACCAATCAATCATTCAGTTAACTAACCAATCAATCATTTATTCACTCAGCAAATCTATCACTGCTTGCTTGAGGATAAACAGAAACAAAAAAACTCTTCATGCACATGTTACTCGATTGCACAGAGTTTTGGATAAAAAGGAGCACATTTGCTAATGCCCGCAAAAATTAAATTAAATATAGCGAATCAAATGAACCTCAAGAATCATCTTCATGGCAAGATTGCAAACAGTTTCTAAAGCTCATTCACTGACGCCAAACTCAAAGGACAATTGAAATAAAAAAAGGAGGAAGCACCTGCAAATGTCAGGAACGCTAAAAATCTACCTAATGTTGTAACAACTCTGCTGCGTGTTGTTATCTTAATATCGTGTAGGTAGAAAAATCTAAAGGAGATGAAAAACATTGAGGGTAAACAACGTGTAGCTTCAGTTAACTAACAACGAAAAATAAATTTAAAACGAAACTACAAGACTGATGGCTATAGACTGGAAAATGGTGACATTATATGAATAAATTAATGAACATGTATCCTTCATGGGTTGGGTGCAATTATGTCACACCATTGTTTTTCACTGAGAATGTTTAATATATGGTTGTGTTGTGTGCGTGTGAGCGAGTGTGCAAAAACTCGCAGAATGTTTAAAAGTGTCTGCAAATATTTTATACCATTTCAAGCAGGTATCATTCTTCCTCATCTTCATCATCCTAATCACCAGCAGCATATCATTGTACGCTATACAAATCAATAAACGAATAAACGACCAATTAATCATATCAATGACAATATTAATCATTTTAGCAGTGATGATAGCTTAATATAATGATAAATGGAAACCCAGAAGCAAACCGAGTGACGCAACGAGAATAGCCACTGGATCGATGGCATGCACACGTAGTGAACTGGACAACATCGTAGAGACGAGATAACAATGCAAATGCGATAACAATAAATTCATTCGGAGATTCATTAACAGATGAAGGAAATATAATTTATAATAATAACAATAATTTATAACAATAATAATTTATAACAATAATAAATTTATAACAATAATAAATTTATAACAATAATAATAACAATAATGATAATTGATAACAATAACATTAATGATAATTTTTTTTACAAATATGACATATCGAATAGGAGTTAGAATTTTGTTAGAGCAAGGCATTATTTAAAGTTGATCAAATTTAAAATAAACTATACACATAAGAATAATAACAAGAGAGCTCAATAAATAAATTTTGCACAAACGAACACAGATAAAAAAAGTATGCTTCGAAATCTATGCACACAGCGAATATTAACACAGGAGCCCAAACACACACCCCACACACAAACACACGCACACAAACCACCGCCACACACATGAAACATCCACACAAACGTACAGAGATACATCTACTTACAAACTGCAATACAAACGTGCACAATACAATGACTGTATGAATTAATATGTACATTTTGGCAAAACATAAATAACATAACATGGTTTATAGTGACTGCCGTGATCCTTTCTCCTTCGGTCGATCGTAGTTCCCGATTGGCCAACTGATATTGAAAGCCCTTGTTCTTTCCTCCCATTTGCATAACTTTACATTTATCTATATTAAAAAACATTTGTCAATCTTCAGACCACTTGCACAATGTCGCCAAATCCTGTCTTAACACTTCCGCATCTTCCTCATTGTTGGTCTCTGCACACAGCTTCTGAACACTACTCGTAAGAAGTTTGATAAAAATGAAAATAAAATGCAAGCCAGTATAATACAACAAACAACACAACACCACACCATACAACCCGATATAATACAGTATAATAAAATGCAATAGAAAACGCTACAATACAGTACGAAGCAATGCAATGCAGTACAATAGAGTACACTCAGGTAGGATTTGTATTGCATCTCTTCATTAATAAATGACTACTACTTGTGGAATAACGCATGCACACATAAATATTATAAGCTATATATATATATATATATATATATATATATATATATATATATAACTATAAGTATATACTGTTGGTGATTAGTAAATGAGAAGATGCACAATTTTTTACGAGAGAAGCATCTGCAAGTGCATGTTCAACCTTGGCTGCTGTGAACCAGACGGGTGAATAACAATAATAATAACAATAATAATCTAAATGACGAAGAGAACCAAATGAAAAATAACCCTACAGTGAAATGAAAGCAAGATAAATAATAATGAAACAAACAATACTACAACAAAAATTACTACTACCAATACTTCTACTACAGTAAAAGAAAATATAAAAATATTGATAAATGGAAAAAATATAGATATAAATAAATTAATAAATAAGAATAGATGAATAAAGTAACTATAATGCCAGTACGACATTAATGAAATATTAATAGACGGGTTAATAATTAATATTTTATGATTATGAGCTTGGTGATGAGCTATATAAACAGCTGAGGTGAATATAAATATTAATGATGGTCGACCAATGAATGAGGGTCAACTTTTCCACTATATGTTATTTGTCACTATTTGTTGAATAGTGATGAAGGTGAAGGCCAACTAATCACGATGCTCTTTGGTCAAGTGGAATTTTTGACAGCCTGATAAATAATCCTCATCCTTTTGCTCACACTGTAAAAAACAAAACAAAATGAAGAAATGAACGAAGAAATTATGTTAATACTATTTAACTAGGATGCAAATTAATTAACAATACATTCAAAACGATATGAATAAATTAATAATTTATGTTAATTTTCAGCACCTGAGCAAGTTGTCTGCCAATGTTTCCGATGGTGACTCCCCCTGAGAAGAAGATGCATGGTAGCCAGGATTGTAGGTAGGTGAAGTCAGGTGACGTGTATCTGTCGTCGGTGATTGGTTGAGTGGTGGATGGTGATTTGTTGGTTAGTTGGTTGATTAGGATCAGGGTTGATTGGTGATTGGTTGTTGATTGAGTAGTTGGTTCGTTGCATGGTGATTGGTTGGTGATTGAGTGGTTGATGAAAGCTGCGTTCATGAAATCAGATTATTGGCTAACAATTAGAATAACAATAGCAAGAAACAACATAAAGATAGAAACTAGCCACGAGGAAAGAATTTAATAAGCACAATGGTGGTCATTACAACAACAAAGATGAATGAAACTGCACCGACAGCAAAAATACCAGGACCACAACACCACCACCGACAACAACAACAACAAGCACAACACCACCACCAACAACAACAACAACAACAACTAACACAACAGACTGACCGATAGATGCCGTGGTAGATGAGCAAGTGGCAGACTACGCTGGCGATGGCGGCCATGATGATGCCCAACATGAGACCACCCCTCGACCCATCAAACAACCACCACAGACCAACTGACAGGGCAGTCAATGTCAAGGTTAGTTGGAGGTTGCTGCTGAAGTCGATTTTCTGATTGGTCGGTTGATGTCAAAGAGATAACGTGAATGATTGGTTAATGACAAAAAGACGGCAATACGATTGGCTGGTCAATGAGAATGAGATAGCACGATTGGTTAGCACGATTGAGACAGACAAGAAGATAATGTGATTGATAACAAAATGATGGCATCATCAAATGATTATGGGAGTGACTGGTTGATGTGATGAAATGATATATAAAACCATAAACAAAACTATTAAACATATTTGACAACGACCTGATGTGCAAACATAGACAAAATAACTCAAACGGATATACATGGATATAAATGGATGGATATATGGATAACACCAACAACTACAACACAATCAACAACACAAACAACAGCAATAAAACAACAATATAACAACAATAGCAAATAATCACAACAATACAACAACACAACATCAGCAACAACATCAGCAACAACATCAACAAGCACACATACGCACACATACACACACATATATATAAATACATTATGTTGTCTATGCACCTTATGTAAGTCATTCAACAACAACCCAACACCAACAACAACACAGCAAGACATACGGCACTGGCGTGATTGATGCCGACAAAGATGGCGACACACCTCATGACACTCGACCACTCCTGCTTCTCCGCCCGCCTCTCACCTGGACAAACCATCATCAACATTCAACTAATTAGCAACTGCTTCATTATTATTTCAATCATTAAACAATCATTTGACGTTTAAATAGATAACAACGAAGATAATTATAATTAGATGCTATGAAGAAGCATCTCACCGAGTTGTTCGTCAAGGTAGGGGTAGAGCAGGCCGACCACAGCTGGAAAGTTAAAAGAGGAAATTTCATCATTCAATGAACAACTCATCATGACTTGAATTAAACATTACTGGATCATCAACCATCCAACCATCAAATGATGGTTGGATGGTTAGCTAGCCAGCCAGCCCATCAGCCAACCAACCAACCAATCAACAAATTAAAAACAAATCAACTAGCCACCAACCAACCAACCAACCAACCATACCAACCAACAACCAGCCAACTAACCGGCGGTGACACCGCAGAGCACAGGCAGCCACCACGACGACTGGACATCTCGATCCCTGAAAAATGCAGGGAAGAAGTTGGCCTGCCTCTGAAGTTGCAGCAGGTTCAGGACCAAACTGAAGATGATCCCTGCAGAGAAGAGGTACACAGCCCTCGTCACGAACGTCGGGAAGCTCATTTTGTTATTTTGATAAATGTCAATAGCGCGCTATAATCTTCTTTCAAATGAAGACTCGAGTTTGGAAGTCTTAAATATTAATGGAAGTGTAGAATTTAACCCTAACCCAATTCTTAATTTATGAATTTGGTAAATTACTAATTCTCCCAGTTCATTTTAATTTTAACAACTATAACATAGCAGGTCTTTGTTGTCATTAATGTTGAATGTGTTGTCGTTGATGATGCTGCTGTTGTTGTTGTTAATGCTGTTGTTGTTGGAAATGTTGTTGTTGAAATGCTGTTGAAATACTGACTGGATCACTGTATGTACATTCTCAACCGCGACTTTTCAAACTTAATGTAATCAGATGCTGCAACTGGGTGGTTCAACAAAACAAATTAAATCATAAATATTTATGAAAAAATTGAAATAAGTTACTAGTGAAATATATCAAATATATATATAGAAATAATTATAATATACTTTATATTATATTAAAATAATATATTTATATATATAATGTACTATTTATATATATATTTATAGATAGTGCAATATAATGCAGAAGTTTGATATGAAATAATACATCAATATATCTGATCAATATGTAATTGTAATATATTATTCAACTATTGCAAATATTAATTAATTATTTAATATTAATATTAATTAGTGTGTCATATATTGTTCAATTATTACTATTGCAAATAATAATTAACAATTAATTAATATGATCACTAAAATTATTCTTAAATAATTAACAAATAACTATAAACATTTATTATGTTCATTTTTTATTACTTTTGGTAATTTGCAACAATACATAATAATAATAAAATAAATATTTAATAAACAACAATTTTATTTATTATATTATTATAAATATAATATTTTAATATAAAATATGAAAATAAATTATAAAATGAATGAATATATATATTAAATAATATATATATATATAGAAATGATTATAATATATTTTATATTATATTAACAATATGAATAACAATGAATAACAATAAATTTTTTATTTTATGAATAAATAAAAATATGATCGTTTCTGCTAATTTATTAAATTTAACCAACCGTAACACAAGGACCTCGTTAAAGGTTAAAAATTGAAAGAAACATAATAGTACCAACCAACTCATCCTGATTGACGCGTCGTCCCCAGCAAAACAGGTCCCCAAATAAGTGGATATATGGACGAACAAATGAATGAATGAACGAACGGACGGATGGAAAGTAGGTCAAACAGCTGTCGTGCCATCTAATGTTATCGTAAGATTTCCAAGTCATCTGGCGTGAGATTTTTCGACCAATCAGAGAATAGTTATATGGCTCATGTTTATTATACAATATTCATTATAAGCGCATAATTTTTTTTCAAATAAAATTTAATTACTAGTCAATTGATTTGATTTTTCCATCCGTCAGCATTGAATTACATTTAGGAATTGAAACGAAGCACTTGATTTAAAAATGAGAACATTGCCACGACATTACTGCTCTGACGATTTATGTGATTCTATATTCTGTACTGCTTTAATAATAATAATAATAACAATGTTTAAAGTGGTTCAGTAGACTAGCATCCGTGTAAGAACCCCTACAAAATAAATGCCCTAGTATCCTAACTCTCCTAGCTTGATTTTAAAATTGTTGTTTGAATCCACTGAAACAATTTCATCGTTCAGCTCGTTCCAGGAGTTTACCACCTTGCTGCTGAAGAATCTTTGCGTTATTGGATTTTCGGTCTTCTTGAAGAGTTTATATCTATGACCTCTTAATTCTTTCCTTTTTTTAGTTGAAAGAGCCTGGTGAACGGCGTTTCTTCTTTTCCAGTTATTATCTTATATGTCTGAATCAGATCTTTTTTCCTTTCTATAATTGTTAATCCGCATTCTTTCAGTCTATCCATATATTCTAGTTTTCCAACACCTTTAATCATCTTTGTTGCTCTACGCTGTACCCGTTCAAGTATGTCTTTTGCAGATCTGGACTCCAAACCTGTGAATAGTAATCGAGACGAGGGCGAAGTAATGTTTTATATACAAGTTTAGAATGATCAACTTCTCTCTGCTCACCACCGTTCTTCTAATACATCCAATTATTTGATTTGTTTTGGCTACTGCCAAAGTACATTTTCTTGATGTTTTCGTACTTTTATGAATAGAGAATCTGAGGTCCTTTTTTTCTTCTGTAGATTGAAGGTCCTTACTGCCCAGTTGATATTGAAAGTTTTTGTTCATCTTCCCATATGCATAACTTTACATTTGTCTATGTTAAACAGGATTTGCTAATCTTAGACCATTTGTGTAGTCTTGTCAAATCTTGTCTTACTACTTCCGCATCATCCTCGTTGTTGACTCTCGTACACAGCTTCGTGTCGTCCGCAAATTTTGATATTTTTGACATTATGCCAGAGTCGATATCATTAATGTAGATAAAAAATAGTAGAGGGCCCAGCACCAAACCTTGGGGAACACTACTTGTGACGCTAATCCTATTTGAATTTTTGTCTTTGATCCGCACTTGTTGTTTTCTGTTTTTCAGTCAGTTTATTAAAGCAAATTTTCAGATATTCCACATGCCTGTTGTTTTTTGACGAGTAAAAAACTTTGCAATGGATCTTTCTGCATCAATCAATCATAACGAAGATTGCACGATGTCACTGCTGCTCTGCTTTCCAACGATGTCTGTGGTGAAGAGAGGAATACTATGGTAGAATGATATCAGTATAACATATTATGGCTGTAGAATATAAGATGGACGAATGTATGTATAAAATAAGAAAATGTAGCAGACGACTGCCCATCGGAATAGAAGGTATTACCAAACATGGCGTGCCAATATACTTAGAATACCGTGCTGCATCCAACTTTGTAAAAAAAAATTAGTATGATCACCGAGTTCACTTAGTCGATAAAAGTTGCTATGTTTCGCGCTACTATAACGTGATGGCATGGTTCGAATTAACACTGTCTGTCCGAGACTCAACTCAAAGATCATCCATCATACGCGTATGATGCGGTGCTTGCTTGTGCATACGTAATGTGCATGTGCGTCGTGTGGTGTGTGTTGTGTACAGCATTTGTGGCTGGCACGAAAATTTATTTAGAAGTAAGGATTAACGTATAAGCAACTCAGCGTTTAACAGAACTGCATTATAAATGAAAAAAGAATGCGCAGTAAGGTTGGATTAAACTTTCATCAGGCCCTGGACAAAGTATCATATCAGGACACGCGTTACTTTTTCCAAATAGACGGACGGCTTAGTATGGAATATAAAAAAACAAGATAAAAATGATATCGAGATGCCTTGTGTTAATCACTTCTTTCTTACCTAAAACCTCTTTCCCATACTAAACCCTATTTTATTAAACATAAAATTTTGACCATAAATCTTTTTTATATTTATTTCTGCCCAATAATTGTATTTAATTTTTTAAATAATTTCCCTCCAAAAACATTTTCAAATTTTATACCTAAAGCAATTTAATTAAGACTTACGTTACGTCACAAGACGTAGGTACTCCTCTCTTTACAACTACAAAACGCGACTCAAATTAATTTAATCCATTTTAAATCATACGGGACCTTCAATATGGTTTAAATTTGCCCTCGTAAATGTATCAAATTTGAATAAGCGACATTTATTTAAAAAAATTCGCAAATTTGCTTTTCACCTTAGATCCCAACACCATTTAAGCCTTATGTCCGTACCTGTCTTTATTTTATTTTGTTTTAATATATGTTAAGTTTGTCAAAGTACTGACTAATTTTTTTCATTTACGTACTCTATGTCGTAGTTAAGGGTAGCGTATCCGCAAGTCATATTATTAACTTATTTTGGCTTCCCTTTAAATAAAAAATGAAATAAAATTCTAAGTTAATGCGTAATAAATATTCAGAACAGAAACCGGGGAATTGTATTTTTAAGTTTCGCTTATTCACAAATTGAAATGTGTCAAAAAACTGGTAAATTATTTGAATATTTTATTATTTACGGTCAGTCGTCAATTTTTAAAATTTGCACATTAATGTGTAAGTCTCAATCTAAATTATTTCCTAAGTAGGGGGACCGGGGCATAATGAACCAATTTTGAGTACATAACTCATTAAATTTTTATTATTGCATTAAAACTTCTTAAAATAAGTCATTATTATGTAAAAATATGTCTATTACGTATCTAAAAAATATATTCAGTTCTAGCGTGTTTTTTTTACAATAGAAGGGCAAACAAGCAATCTTTGTCACCAGTCGACACACATTTCTTGGCTGAATTCAACCAACACTGAAATTTGACAATGCAGAATTCTGAGCATCGTTGCATTTTTTACAATATCTGAAAAGTGTCGCATGGACAGACACTCAGACACAGACACAAATTCACCTCTAGGGCCTCTCAGTAACCAGCATTATATCCAGAGACGAATTTAGACAACTTTGACGGGGAGAGCCAAGAAACTAGCCAAATTTGTGAGCGTGTGTCCAAAATAAGGATGGTGGCGTTTTTTTTCTTTCCACGTTGATTTTTGGTAGATTTCGATTTTCTTCTTAAAACAGTGTTTTCCTGTGTAAAAACTTATGTTTTACTGAGTTTTATTAAAAATACTGCTCACAACGTTTTCATACTGTATTTCGATGTCAATAGCCGACCATTCTGATTGATCCTGCTTCAAAAACAAACACACTTTTAAATTTTAGACTAATATAAATACGGTTCAACGTGCCCCTAACAACTTGGTTCAATATCCCCAACCATAGTGATCATAGTATTTCAACTGCAACTGGAGCCTCATTAATATGTTACCAAGGCGGGAAATAAAGTACGTAGTGTTTTACTGGATGAAAACACTACCAAAACATGTATCGTAAAATTATTTACTCTTTAGCAAATGTGTTTTATAGAACAATCACGTCAACGACTGAAAATTACTCGAAAACGGCAAACACTCTTTTGCTAAATCTGCATTTGCTTTTTCTGGCCCTTTTCTCTGGAATTCTCTACCTCCTTCTCTGACTACTTCTCCATCGCTTACGAAGTTCAAAGCGAATCTCAAAACGCATCTGTTTGCAAAATTTATTGAGGAGCGCTAATGAACATAGCGCTTTATAAACTAATTGGTTGATGGATTGGAATAAAAACTTATTTTTATATACATTTTCAATACATCAAATCATTTTTTTAAAGATACTGATTCTAATTATTCTATGTATAAAGGATTCTAAGTATACTCTTTCGAGCACAGACATATAATATATATATAATTATATCCATGGTTTCGATTGTAAAATTCATTATTGACGACTCATTATTCATTTTCGCTTTCGATTACGTGGCGTCCACACCCTAATCCCAAATGGAAAAGAAAACTGGGAATTTCCAAACTATGAATAAGCGACAATTTTGCTTGCGTCGTCTGGTTTACAAAATAAGATTAATAAGTATATAAATTATAAAATAGAGTTAATATTTATTTCCTTATTCATTATAGATTTAATTAGTTTGTTTGTGGTATCGCTGATTACTTTTATTTCTCAGATGATCGTTCGCTAAAGTATAGTTGTTAATTACAAATTAATATTATTTTTTATTTAATAAATATGTTAACATTTTTTTTTATTTAATATTAATTATTAATATTAAATGAAATAAATATTAATTTAAAAATTTTTGATTTTCTAATAGGAGACTTTTTTTTAATTTAATTTTTATTTTTAAACCAGCAGTTGAAATGGTTTTTTAATAATTTATTTTACAATTTATATTACATTTGATTTCAAGAATCAAAAATTACAAAACATTTTATTTTACTAAAATTTTTAATTCAATTAAAATAATCATATTGAAATTAATTGAAATTATTTATATTGATTGAGATGTTTTAACTAAATTTGTTGAAGTAGCAAAGCAAATTTTCATCTATCTAATAAAAGATTAATTTAAAATAAATTAATATTAAATTATACTACTGGATTTCCGTTGAATAAAAAGCCAAAGATGAGTGAAAATATAAGAAAATTAATTGAAGCATTTGAGAGTGTTTTCATGGATAATGAGCTGAGATGTGACTTCATCATACCACACTTTGCCACCGAATTGGGAAAAAGTATTTAAAAAATTTAATTGAAGATTTTTTGTTAAATAATTATTTTCGATTTAATAACATTAATTATTGCTATAAATATTAAGGACAAGCATAAAGTTGTATTTAAAAAATTTAATTATAATTTTAAAAATAAATCAAAAACACTGAATTATCAATTTTTACCCACCATAAACAAAAGTTTTTATTTCATTTCAATAAGGTGGAAGCATTCTATGCAACTGATATTTCTCCATTTGATTAAATTAAATTATTTTGTTTGATTGATTGATTGATACCTATTTGAAAAAAGTCTCTTAAATTATTAATTATATTTATAAATAATAAATAGTAACATTGTTTTTAAAAGGGAATATGGAAAAAATTTTGAAAAATAAAGAAACCATTAATGAGCAGTTTTATTTATGGATGAAAAAGAATGCGAATGAACAGATTTTTCAAAAACTCTTAGATTTTCTACAACATGAAAGTAAGCTTATTATAATTCTGTTTCAAAACTGAATTTTTTTATTCTTTTATTTGGCACAGGCAAAGGTATGAGGTTTTCCAAAAAATTTTGAAATTTTTTTTCATTCACTTGTTGCTTCATTTACAAACATTTTTGTATTGTATTATTATCTGAAATTTATTATTGAGTATTACATAACACTCTCCTGAGGTTAAGTGTGGTGTTGGAGGAAGGTTCTAAGTTATTTATATGTAAAAAAAATTATTATGAAAGATATTAAAATAGAAGAAGGATATAAAGTCTTCAAATAATTTTTAATTATATTTGAACAACTGTTATAAAAAACTGAAGAGTGTTAAATTGAATCCTTTTATTCATTATGAATATAAAATTTCAGGAAAAAAGAGTTGTAATTTTTATTTAAGATGATTTGTTTGTTGTTTATTCGTGTTAAATAATAACTTTTCGGAAAATTTTTTTTTATTCATCCACATTGTCTGTCGTAATGTTTACAGTTAATTTTTCGTATCTTTACAAGAGTTTGATAAACCTTACAAAATGTTATGCATGAAAGAAATGGAAGATAAAGAAATTTTCAAAGAAATTGCAATTTTACACATGAAAGTTTTGAAGAAAGTGAAATATCAGGACTTATTGAAACGATTATATGACAGAGATGTTATCAGGTATTTACTTTCCAACTTACAACTAAACCGACAGAATATAAATTCGTTTATTCGTTTATTATGAACAAACAATAAATTTGTTACATAATGGGGCGTTCCAAAAGAGTAAATCTTAACTGAGCGGAATCCTCAACATTCAAAAAAGTAATCCATAAATTCATATCATTAAATAAAGGTAAATTAAATAATTTTTCTTTCTTTTTTTAAGACATCTATAAAATATGAAAAATTTATAATGTTTAAACCAATTAATATATGAATACATATAAAACCAATTAATATAAGCATATATGTAAAATATGTAAAATTTATAATGTTTAAAACCAATTAATATATGATATAATAATTAATTAATATACACATATTTACACACCCATACATATACTACTTACTTATATTTATAGACACACATACTCCCATACACACACCCACTCACCCAAATAAATACATACATACACACAATCCCCAATATATATGTAAGCATTATATATAAACAGTACCTAAACAATCATATAGGTATATATTGAAATTGAAGAACAAAAATATTTGACCTGAATAATTGTAAATGTTAATGTATAAAAACGGAAAAGAGGTAATAAATTAAAGATTTGAAATGAAACAATAAATTGAATTCAATGTCAATCATAGTATGATTAAAAAGCAAATAAATTATAACAAAACCAAGAAAATTAAGAATAAAATAAACTATAAAAAAATTGCAGGAATAATTGAAATTGAATAAAATTAATTACAGAATAACATAAAATATTGAAGATCAAGTCATATAAATTATAAGAGAACCGAAAGACAAAATTTATGCACAAATAAATATAATAGATTAACATTAAAAACAATTATAAGTTAATAAGATCAAAATATGAAAGAAAAAAAATAAGTTGATACAAAACAAAGGATAAATGGGATATGGAAAGTTATTAGCTAACCATTCAGTCAGACAAAGTAAATTCTTGAAATAAATTGTATATAGATTAAGTATTATTTAATATGTGAAAATATAAAATTAATATATACATATATACATACACACAGAAGTTTAAAAAAAAACTCGATACTATGAAAGACAGAGTAAAAAGTTTTTTAACTTATATTTAAAAAAAAAACTTTATAAACTTTAAAAAAATATATATAATTCCAGTAAGGAAAATTGAAAAGACAAACTGTAAATTGATTAATGCCAACAATTAGGTAAAATTTGTACAATAATGTATAAAATATGGTCTCCTTCCAACACACACACACGCACCCACACAAACACACATATATATATATATATATAAATGCTGGTAAGACCAGTGGTGCACAACAGGCAATGGCCTGAGGCGGCAAATTTTGAAAACCATTGATTTAAAAATGTTCAAGTGTAATAAAAATTATTATTGAAATTTCTACTCTAACTAAAAAAAATAATTTAAATTTTAAATTTTAATTAATTTAAACTTTTAAAAAATGGAATAAATTCCTATCTTTTGCATTTTTTCTGATCAGCCAATCATTCAACTAGATAAATCAAATTTTTTTTAAAATTCGCCATCTTATCATATCAATGCCCTATTTGAAGTTTCATAAAAGATAATAAAGATGAGTGATGGTAGAAAAACATTAAGTGGGAGTCAATATGCAAAATTGCTGAAAGACAGAAAATTTTGAAACAAAACGGTTTTGAATATTAAAATACGGAGCGTCAATCATCAAGTTTTATATGCTCATTTCACTTACTTAATATTGTTGGGACAAATGCAGCCGAATCCTGTGCAGGAGCTTGCATTTTTTTTTGGTTGATCTAACACGTTTGTAACTTTTCATTGCTTATACTGTCAAGTGGGAAGTTTTCCAAAACCACACACAGCAAAGATCTAACTCATTAAATCAAAAATTCTTTCCACACCCAATGGTCTGCACTCGTTGACGCAATTAGAGCATTGATATATGGATGGAGTGTGGTTATTGAGTCACTTCAATATCTGGAAAAAAATTCAAACCAGAAACCAGAAGTCCTGCTGAGGCTAGAGAAATTATTGATAATTTGAGCTTTTCGAAACCGGACATATGTTAGAACTATTTGGGATTTGTTTTAGAATGTCTGAACAAATCTAACGCCTAACTTCAACAAATAGACAAATCCTGTCGTTATTCAACAAGGCGCAACTATTAAGAAAAAAATGGAATCGGAATTACGACGAATCAACAAGCAATGAGATAGAATTCAGTACTCGAGAAAATTTCAAAGCGATTGTATAGTTTAAAATCTTGTCAGCGGTGGAGTTAGAGTTTGCAGCGGATGGATTAAGATCATTGTTTTCCATGTTTTAGACGAAACCTTAAATTCCTATCTTTTTATTTGCATTTAAAGTCTTATTTGGCCTCCTAAGACCAAAATCTAGTTACAAAGACTTCAACTGATTTACGTAACTGTAAAGTGTAAATGGACAAGAAAACGAGTTGCTGTGCGTATAATAATACTAAATGTAGACATTGCACTACTTTGGTTCTAGAAGGTTATATTAGCTTTATGTAACTTTAGTTTGAAATAAATATTAATACTGATTAAAATTTAATAAAAACAGACAAAATGTTAAAACTTACCAAACGATGCGAAAAAAAAAGAAAATGGTTTTAAGCTGTAACAAAAAATGTCAGATGTTTGTTTATCCAAAAGTCAAGTTTGAACCAAAGATTATATGCCCAAAAATTTTTTGAAAATATTTTCTTAATAACGAAGATATCGCACTTGTAACATTCAACCCTTGTAATATATAGCACCGCTCTCCCCTACACTTGTACTCCTGCTTTCAAACAGTTCAGCCGAGCGGTCTTTCTCTCGTTTAAAGCGCGTTAAAAATTATTTGCGTTCAACAATGTTGGAAGGAACTTCCTTGCAATACTCTGCATTAAAAAAACAATTTTGTAAGGATTGGATCTCAATTTCATTATTGATGAAAAGTTTTGTTGTAACTATTTTATGGACTGTTCAACGCAAATGCATTTTTTTTACTAATATTGCGTTACATAAATATTATTAAAGAATGTTCTAAATAAAAATAATGTGTTAAAAATATTCCTTTTATTTAAATATAGTTTTCTTAGGTAATTGTTATAATCGTCACAAATATATTCGCTAGAGGGTTAGTGTCGCTACGAACGCATACAGTTCGAGGTGAAACTAGAACCTTCTGGCGGCGAGATATCTGGGACGTTCGAGAAGCGTCGGTAGAACGGGTATATAGAGATATTGATATTGCGAGATAATGAATCGTTGTCATTGAATTTTGATATTAGAAAGCGATTAGTATTGAAAGCGACATTTGATATTTGAGTGCGTTGTGTTTTTTATTGTATTTGCGATAAACTTTAATGAACTGTTATTCGAAAGCGATAGTTTCTGAACGTTAATTAGATAGTTTGTGGACATTAACAGTTATTAGTAACATTTAATAACGTTTATTATTAATTAATTAATCAATTATTGTTTTGTAAATAAATAAATCGATAATTTGGAAGTTATATTGCCTTAATTTTTCACTGGGATTAAAAGAACTCGTCGTCGACCGGCCAATTATAGCATTATTATAAAATTGCGGCGGAAAATTACGAGTGCTTCTAGGTGGCAAAAAGATTAACCCGCCACTGTAAAAGACCATAATTAATGCAGTTATTTATAAAATCTATCAAATTTCTTGCATTGGATAGTTATTGTTACATACATTTTTCACTATTTTTAACTTAATTCTTGTCGTCATTACTTATTTTATCAAAATTATAATGATGTTCAGTTTTGCAATTTATTCTCTAGTGTAGGGGAGGACCTATTTCGATTTTTGAACCTCGGACTCAATTGCCACTTCATTAAGAAACCGAACAATCATTCGATAAATTAGTATACTGTGCTTTTACTCCACTTTGCTGATTCCTTTATCACTGTATATATATATATATTTGAGCATCTGGGCACATGCACAACACACACACACACACACACACACACACACACACACACACACACACACACACACACACACACACACACACATATATATATATATATATACATATAAAAGTTGGGATTAATATTTCATATTCAGAAAAGTTAAATCAACTTTGATTGCTTAACATCTTATATTCAGAAATAGTAATTTAAGTTTAATTGTTTAGCCAAAAAGAGCTTGATGATTTATTTGACCGTTCCAACAAAACGAATGGAAATCTCGTCTTCAAACTAATCATTCATATCAGTTGGTTAGTTTCGTTTTTAAAAATTTTGGGGCTGTTCATTTGACAATTATGTCTCAGTAATTTTTTACCACATTTTCAATGTTATTCTTGCAAATGATTAAAATGGAAGTTTTAATAAAACAAAGTTTTATCAAACGGCAGCCACAAAGATGGTTGGTTTGCAAAGTTGGTGCAATGTTTGAGAGACATGAATGAGGTGGAGGCTTTGAACGCATTGAATCCTTATCTCCTCTGCTCACGTTAGTTGCAAATTTAATGCGCTCGGTCAGACGCAAATATTTTTTAATCGTTTATTTGCTTAAGATATGTTTGTGTTTTTTTAAATCTAGTTTTCACAATTAGTCTGTTTCCAGTTATTTTTATCAAGTCTGACGTTTGTGCCATGAAAAAATTCTAGCCTATGATTTTCTTTGGTTCTTGTCAAAATTTCAAAGTTCACAGTTGGAGCAGTGTTCACACTTTTACCTATGCCTAAACAAGATAATAACTTTAATGCAGATAAATACCTGAGAGTAAGTAAATTGATAATCATGAAACTAGAGTTGGAGTTGGAACTTCAACAAACAAAAAAAGTATACAAGTTCTAATATAACAATAGACGGAATTTATAATTATTAAAAAGACATAATTTTTTAAACTTTTATGTACCTTGAACTAACGTATAAACAAATTGAAATGTGTGTGAGAAATGGTCCAAGTTGTTTGAGAAATTGTCAGTAGCAATATTTGCTCAGATGTGATGAAAAGTATTCTAAGGAAAAGTATTCTAAGATTCCCATCACATCCTTGATTAACAAACACCTCTACCCGTCCACTATGATTTATCTAAGCACAAAATTACTTTCATGGTTCTATTAATGATGCGAAGATGTTGCAAAGTTATAACCCTACAATATTTAATAGATTTCTGCAGGACAACATCATCGATGGAGGGTCGGAGGGTTTTGAACAATGATTTCGATGGTTTCAAGAATTTTTGCAGTATATGGCCCAATGATGTGGACCAGTTTTCAAAAGGATTGAAAAAAAATGAAATTGAAGAGGCGGTTTTCAGAAAAAAATCTCAAAGCAATTTTATGGGAAAAAATGTTCATGAGGACTTGAATGAGCGCCGTATAAACTCTACATAATAATAATAATAAAAACTAGTCTAGCTGTTCACATGTCAATCTTGGCCAAATTATTTGTATTAAATTTATAATTTTTAAACAGTCCACTCACAAACCATAAAGTACGATATGAACAATTTACGTTGTTTAATTTTTTGCAGGTAGCAATGAAAGTTTAGCTTTGATGATAAAAAATCTGGAACGTGCTGATGGTAATATGTTTGTGAATTTTTTAAAAACTGATATCAAGTTTTGTATTCAAAAACAAGCGAAAATATTTGAATTTTATTTGAATTTTGTTCTATATAGTATTTTTTTATTTGAACTTGGCAAAAATGTACCTTGTTTTATTTTTTCCTATTTCATTGTTAAAGACGAAACTGGGAAACTTAAAGTTTTAGCGCACTTTTTAACGTTCTTCATTGCTGCATATTTGAAAAAATGCGCATAAACAGGGAACATCGAATATTTTACCTGTTTGACATTACTATGGATGGGGGCATAAAGATCTTTGGTCTGAGCCAATTTACTTTATCATATGTAATATTATGTTATGTTATGTTATGTTACAACATTTCCTAAACATGACGTATCAATCAAGTTCGAGTTTTTTGGCCCATGATTCCTTGATACCTTTGATATCATGTTTATCAACATATGATTCTTATTAACATATAATTCTAGTTCTGTTTTTTTTTTTATCTTTGTTTACTACACTTCTTGCATTTACATAGAAACATTTCAAATGCTTTAATATACAAACGAAGAAACGGGTTTATTAAGGGTACTCGACTTGGTTTCTTGCTCATGTTAATTCTCATACAGTTTATCTAGGCTCTACAAAAAACAGCTTTAATTATTTAAAATCCTTCTGACAAACTAATCAGCTCCTTCGTTTATACCCACTGAAGATTCATTCTGTGCCTCCTTGTCAAGTAGTGTTATTACGCTAAATGAGAAGCTGTTAAGAAGAGTTCATCTTTTTTTGCCGGTTTTGGTGGAAGTGGATCCGTCGCCAATATGTGATTATTTGGAAGATCACCATATTTTAAGGTTGGAGTCGACTTCAGTGTTTTGTAAAATGAGTTCTGATAAATGTAAACATAATTTTAATTTTTGACAGTGATGAGGAGGTGCGGTACATAGAGGGCGATGTTGGTGACTCAAAAATGATGAAAATGACTCAACTAGTTTTTAAACTAGCTGAAAAGGTGGATGGATTCCCTTATTTGATCATGGCTCTGCATGAAAACAAAGAAAGGCATGCACTGAAGGCTCTTGGATTTGATGGATTCATTTTTAACCGTACTTTACATTTCGATAGAACATGTTAAAAACATTTTCATTTCAACAAAAAATTTTTTTACAGAGAATTTCACTGCGTTGAAAAAATTTCTTGAAAAAGTTGTATCCATTGATGATGGTCTGTTTTGGTGTTTGGTTTGTGCATGATGATTTTTGTACAATGAATTTCAATAATTTCATTTCATAGACAATGATGTTCCGCCAGTTAAAACTATCAGGCGCGATGAAAATTTGAACATTAAGAGCATTTTGAGGATCACAAACGAATCACAAAACGAAACCTCGTTTGAAGGTAAAGATTTATCTGAAGGCGCAAAGTTCCAGCATTCGCTCTTTGATTCATATTCCGGTTTGTTATATTTATTGAGAATAAATTATTGCTGAAATTATTATCTGTGTCATCTTTATTTTTATGGTTTTTATCATCTTCATCGTCATTACTTTCATCATCATCCTCGTTCGTATCATCGCTATCATCTTTACCACCTCCATCATCATCTTCATCCGCATAATCTCTATAATCATCATAATCATCACCATCATCTTCATCATCCTCATCGCCTGCACCACCTTCGTCGTTGCTTCAACATTGTCTTGTCACAACATTGAGGAGTTAGTATAAAATAAGATGCGCCGTTTCCAGTAATTCTCAAATGGGATATTTTTTTTATAAACATCATGAATTCAATTTTTCGCTTGAAATTTGTCATTAATTGTTCGCTACTTTTTCGCACTGCACTGTTCAGTGGCTTCAACGGCAGCTACAGGGCAGGCCTCGCACGTTGCGAATGATAGGTTAGAATTTTTTTCCATTTGAGCCCAGCCATTGCACGGCAGCACCAAAGGAGGCAAGTTGCAAAAAGTTTTAACAAAAGCTCACTTGAAATGTTAAACTAACTATTAAAAACAAATTTTTGTTAATTTTAATATTATAAAAAATTTTTTTTCATAATTTTCAAGATGAAAATTATGATTTGAGAGCTGATGATGAGAATGAAAAATGTGATAATGTACCCCCCATTTCACAACCTCTTCAGAACTTATTTTCTTCTGGTTAGATTTATTAAAGAAATGATTTTAAAATTTTCCAAAAGTTTAATTTTTTTAACTCGTTGCAGAAAATTTCACGTTGCATTTAAAAACAGACGCAATAATTAACGGTATGTTGAACGTTTGAATGAATAAATGATGGAATTAGCGATTGAGAATAATTTTGTAACAATAGACCTACCTACAACTGTCCAATCAAAATCGCTGACTGAAAACAAGATGGAAGAAGAAGATGATGATGAGACAATTTGCCTAGAGCAGTTGAAATTAAGAGACTATCAAATGGAGTTGGCGGAGAATGCTTGCATGGGTAGGAACTGCATCGTAGTGGCTCCCACAGGATCTGGAAAAACCCACGTAGCCATGTATATTATGAAGGTCATTTATATTAAATTCAAGATATTTTTGAGTTAAAATAATTTTATGTTGATCAAGCAAAATGATGAACGATTACATTGTTGCTTCTCCGCTCAGAACCATTTAGAAAATGCAGATGGAAAGAAAGTGAAGAAGGTCATTTTTATGGTGCCGACAGTTGCACTGGTGGAGCAGCAGAAAAGTTTGTTTGAAAAATACTTGCCGAAGAAGATTTGTGGAATCACTGGTGTGGATAATATATCTATCAGGCAGCTCATTACAGTTTATGTTGGTTTATTTGATGTTGTTATTTTGGCAAAGCCATAGTATAATTAATCACGTTTATCTTTGCATCTGCAATTAATGACAGTTTCTATATATTGTTTGTTAACTCAAAAATTTAAGGCAACCAAAATTTTAATAATTTGTGCCATTTGATTTTGAATTTTGGTAATAAATACTACAAAATCTTATTTAATCATATTATAAGCTATCAGAGATGTTTTCAAGTACCTTTTTCAAATACAGGTAGAAGTAATCAGGTTTCAATTACAAGTAAAAGTACCGAAAAAAATTTTAAAACACAAATCCTGCCAGAGCCGTAGTCACTGGCAGATTTGTGGATAGTACATTTTGTTGTAACTTGTGACTATGGCTTCATTCGCTCGCCTACAGTTTGTCTCAAACCCAGCATAAAACCTTATTGCATTACACCATTGTCAATAAAATTTACCTAATTTAATAAAATTTGAATTAATTGAATTGAATTTTGATTGATTTTCGTATATTCTATAACATACATACAAACATACACATGAAAATAAATATACACTTAAACTTGCAAGTACGATAAAAACATGTGTGATAATTCATACATCCACCACACATGTTAACACCTTTTGAAAACAAACTTTTCAATCTATGTGCTTAACGTTAATGGCTGACAGATATCAATCAGATGGTCCAAGCCATAGATGTCTCGATGTAGTAACAACTTTTAGATACGAAAGTCCTTACACACGCACATCATAACTTGAGCATACTAGGCCCTGCATTAAGCTATCGTTTTGTTAAATGAATGGCCTTTGCTTGTACTATCTTTGTTTATTTGTGTTGCACGTTGTTTTATAATGCTGTTGAGTTTTGATCATCATTTATTGACTGAAAACTTTTGTATTGATAATTGTTAATTTTTATAAAAATACTTTTACATTGTATTTAATATTTTGTTTGTAATTATATATAAAATGGGTAATAAATGTTCAGCTCATGGATACAAGTGGATACAAATCAAATGCAGCAAATGACGAGACAAACGACGTATCGTTTCATGCCTATCCATTAAAAAAATCCGGATTTGTGCGCTAGATGGGTACGTGCTAAACCTCTTAAAGATTATTTTCCAAACAAACATTCTAAAATGTGATCACTCCACTTTGATCAGACATATTTCGTAACATGTTTTAGTGACTGGTATAAGGGAAAATTGAACAGAACTGTGGGGATTGCCAATACTGTTATGGAGAGTCAAAAAAGAAAGTTAAAAGAAGATGCAGTACCATCCAAATTTCAGAATGCACCTTCACATTTGTCCACTCCAACGCAACAACCTCGATCGACAACAAAATCTTACTCAATTACTCGTCTCGTGTGAGGTATGAAAGGGCAGAAAAAGCAGTTCCTAGAAACTGATTTTTTAAATAATTGTAGATGGAATGATCTAAAACAAAGTTTATCTTAAGCATGCACTTTTACCTCGGAATTTGAATTTAAATTGATGGACAATTTTTTGATTATATACAAAATTGAAATTAAAAATAATTGTCCATCAGTTGCATGTTCAATGCTATCAGTGAAAATTATGAATTGACAGTGCATCATCAAGAAGTAAAACTTTTTCATTCATTCATGAATGGTATTATTGAAAGAGATTCAAAAAAAGATTAGTCAAATGTTTAATGTCTTCGCTCGTCTCAATGGATATTCAAATGAAACTTCTACAGAGACAAATTTTGAACTACAAAACTACATCAACTAAAAGCTTATTTAAATCTTTTTTATGAGAGTGATGATGGATATCTTCAATTAAAATTTGTTATTGATCAATTAAAATTAATTGGATTTAGCAAATATGGGAGAAATTATTTTTCACAATTATTAGTATGGACGTATTTGATTTACTCTTCAAGCTCTTCCGCGTACACAAAGTTAATTGAAAGTAAAGCATTGTGTTTACCATCGATAAGAACTTTGATAAAAGTTACTAGAAAAGTTAATGTTAACTGGACTGGACAATGCTGGTTACTGAATTATCACATTTTAAATGGCCAGATGTCAATGAAGCCACTACAATATGTAGCAGAGGCAGTAGTGAAAAGTATCCTCATTACGATTAGGTCTTGAATGCAGGGAGTTTTTTTGGAATGATGATTCATTTTATTCTAATGAAGATCATTCTAACATGGTAATTTATTTGCAAGACACAACAAATGAGGTTTGTTGAAGCCAGCTAAATATACATTTTTAGTTTCTTGTTTTTTAATTTATGAAAAATTATTCAGAAACAGTTATGAAACTTTTCAAAACCTCCAACTATCAACGAAGACTTTTTACAACACTTGTAAATAATTATATACAAAATGACATTTTGTATATAATTTAAAATCCAAATCTTTCAAGTTTGACTTTGAACTCCTGCGTTGTAGAAGCTGTAACAGTTTTTTATCTAGTTTATTCCGATGTTCAATAACTCTTGAGCTAAAAATTTCTTTTTATTGTTCTTACCCTTTTTTTGAAGAGCTTGTACTGGTGCCCTCTTGTATTTCTACTTTTTTTAAATTGGAAGAATAAGAATGAATCTATCTTACCTTTACTCGTTATGATTTTGTACGCCCGAATAAGGTCTCCTCTAGTTCTACGTTTTCTAAAGTTGTCAGTTCACCTCTCTTCAATTTTTCTTTATATGAAAGTCTTTCAAAATTGTTAATTATCCGGGTTGCCCGTCTTTGAACTTTTTCCACACTTCTTTGTCTTTTTGCCAGTGAGGACTCCATAACTGTATAGATTATTCCAATTTAGGCCACACTAACGTTTTAGAGAAATTTAATATTATTGATTTATATCTGTTAACAATCGTCCTTTTTAGCATTCCAAGCGTATTGTTTGTTCCTTTTTCTGCTTCTATGCATTGCCTGGTAGGTTCCCCAATTTTGTCTACAATTATTCCAAGGTCCCTTTCGTTCAATGAAACTTAGAAGTTTGTCTCTAAATTCTGATATATTTTTAAGATCAGTTCGCAATCTTTTTACATCTTCATTTTTATCCACCCCTACAAAGAGCTTGGTATCATTTGCAAATTTGACTATTTTGGAATAAATCTCACTATCAATATTATGATTGAAAATAATAATCAACAGTGGCCCCAGAACTGAGTTCTTAGGTACACCGCTTGTATCATCCACCCAGCTTGAATATTATCCTCTGATGCCCACTGGCTATTTTTTCTGGGTCAACCAATTAGTTAACCAATCGAATAAGTTTAGTCTAGTTTTATGCGTTATCGCTTATGTGGCACTTTATCAAATGTCTTGGCAAAGTCCAAATATTTTACGACTTTACCTCTATCCATGTTGGCATAAACCTTTTCAAAAAACTCCAACAAATTTGTTAGGCATAATCTTTCGTTTACAAAACGTGTTGACTTATACCAATTATATTACTTTATTATATACTTACATGTCCACACGTAGAGAAATAAATTAAATAATGTGTAAACGTAGACATAGCTGCGTGCATTAAACAAAAACATAGATACATTGCATTTCAAAACTTGGATGACAAATTCTGGCTTAAATTTGAAATCTGGCCCAATTTCGGCCCAGCCGAATTTTGAAATATGGCCAAAAATTTCTAATAAAATATTAGTTTCCTTAAAATTTTTATATATAATTTTGTAAATTTTTGCCAAGTACTTAATTTTTCTCCTGGAAAAATTTTGAGTAAGAGTGCGAGTAGGCTACTTTGTAAAACAACAAGTACAAGCAAGAGTACTTGAGTGTCATGCGCCATCACTTCAAATTGGTACTCGAGTTGTACTCGACTGCAAGTACCACATCATTGTAAACATTAATTAAATCACTGAAAAAATTTATATCTGATTTCAGAATTAAGATTTTCTCCACGAAGTATATTATACTGTTTTACATGCAGTACAAAATTTTCTGGTGGTTAAAAAAACGTACAACGTGTGGTGTAAATTTTAATAAACATTTTTTCAAACTGTGGATTAATATGAAAGGCAGCAAATAAATTAATTAAAATGGTTTTTGTTGTTTAACGGATTAGGGGAAAATTTAATTTTAAACGTACGTGTATGAGAAATTCATCATACACTTTAGGTGTAAATTTATTCATCGTTTATTTAACCAGCAATAATTAAATTGTGTAAATTATTGTCAAGATATTGTTGTGATGTAATGAAAAGTGAAATGACGTTTAAAATGTTTCAATTTGATGAATTATGCAGGATATATTCATCATAACTCCACAAATTTTGGAAAATTCGCTCAGAGAAGACCGCAATTTTATGGCGCAGTTGACCTTGATGATATTTGATGAATGTCATCACGCCAAGAAGGACCACCCCTACAATGCTGTCATGACCAGGTACCATGACATCCGAGATTCAGACCGGGACGCTGACCTACCTCAGGTTCTTCAATGCTTCAACTCTTTTTATATTATTAACTGAAAACATGTGCTAGATAGAAAAGTTTACAATTTTATCAGTTTTGTTTTCTTGCTCAAAACTTTAATTTTTTTTTATGATTTCTTACTATCACCGACTGCACCTAAAACATTTGCACACGATATGAAGCAGCAGTTAACTCACAAATAATCGTATTGATGCCTGCAGATCGTTGGACTGACCGCATCTGTGGGTGTTGGAAAAGCAAAAAATTTAGAAGAGGCAAAAAATTACGTATTGAACATCTGCGCCAATCTCAATGCCATCTACGTTTCCACTGTTCGAAAGAATTTGAAAGAACTAAACGAGTTCACTAACAAACCACTGAGCAGTTAGAGATTTTTCTGATGTGTTTCCATTTATATGATTGTTTGTTTGTCTTCAATAAAATATAAATGTAATGAAATGTTAAGTTGGTTTTTGGAATGCTTTTTTAATATCACTAGAAACGATAACATGCAAGACCAGGCAGACGGATCCTTTCAACGAGATGATTAATGCCGAAATGATGGAAATTGAGAAAGTTTTGTTGCAAAATAAAGATATTAACTTGAATTCTGTATCAGAAAGAGGTTTGTTGTTTCAACGTAATATTTTTTAAGCACAATAGTTTTCAGAAGAAAATTAATCTAATGATTTTCCAGGCTGTGATCCGTACGTTCAATGGCTTTCTAGATTAAACAAACAAATATCTGTCGTTTTCGACCAAAACAATCGATTGCAGTTGCTGTCTTATTATGAGTTTCTTAAGGTTAGAAAAAATATTTTAGTTATTTAATCATTTCACTTGTCATCATCACCCAACAACAGATGTACAACGATGCGCTGATGATAAACAATGCTTGTCGTACAAAAGATGCTGTCAGCTTCATTAAACAGTTTGTTTGCAAATTTGAAAATTTGCCCGCGGAGAGCCAGCCACAGAATTTGATCAGCTTAAAGTTGCTATCCAACTGGACTCATACGTTACATCATCCATTAAAAATCATTGCAGACGACCAAAGATACAATAACCCGAAACTGGAACAGCTGAAAACAATGCTACATGAACACTACACCCTCTATCCTGACTCAAGATGTATAATTTTTTGCAAGACTAGGGAGATGACTGTAGCTCTCGTTAATTGGACGAAGGAGGCTGATGAGTTGAAATCATTGAACGCTGAAGTTTTAATCGGAGTGAACAAAACTGGTAATTAGCCTTTTTCACAGATGTTTGAAGAAGATAAAATATTTTAATTAAATGTTTTAAAGATCAAACGAAGGCGATCCAAGATAACGTGATGAAAAAATTTCAGAAAGGAAAATGCAAATTAATCATCGCAACTTCTGTAGCAGAGGAGGGTTTGGATTTTGCCAAGTGTAATTTGGTCATTCGTTACGAACATGTCACTAATGAAATTGCTACCGCTCAAACCAGAGGTCGTGTAATTTATATTTTCTATTCTATATAATTTATATTATATTAAGTTTTGATTGTTGTGATTGTGAGTGAATGAGTTTATAATGTTTTGTCTTTTCAGTTGAAACCTGTTGATCTTAAAATTTTAATACTTCCTATTTAGGACAGCTAGTAGGATGAGCTTTAGCAAAACATTTTCAAGCATAATTTTTGATTTAGTCCACCGTAATTATAGTTTATTAGATCAATATAAGTGATGCATTTTTTCCATAGGGAGGGCGTCGAGAGCAGCTGATTCAAAAATCATCTTGATCGCTGAGAAGGGAAGCAATGTTGTCGTTAAAGAGGAAATTAACGTTGAGCTGGAGAAGATGATGAATGATGCCATCGATTACATCCAGGATCTCACTCCAGATGAAAGAAGAGGCCGCATTAAAATTATTCAAAAACAAATAAAAGTATTTTAATTTTTGATTGGTTTTTTCTCAATAGTATAATCTAAATGTTATATTTTAATGTCATCACCAAGTTCGAAAGAAGCATGAACGAGCAAGCGAAAAGGTTAGGGATCAAATCAAAGAACGACGATCCCTATGAAATTAGATGCTTGAAATGCACTCATTTTGCTGCGAATTCTGGTGACATGCGCACGATAGAAAATGCGCATCACGTCGTTGTCGATCCCGATGTCAAAGAAAGGATAACTATCAAACCTCACCCGAGGCCGTTAGCGATCACGCCAGTTTACAAGAAGTTCGGCAAGGTGCATTGCAAGAAGTGTGATTTTGATTGGGGCATCATGGCTTCGTACAAAGGGGTGCCCTTCCCTATTTTGAAGGTGGATGGGTGATTATTCTTTTTACTTTTTCTATTTTTTAGAAAATCTTTGTTAGTTTTCATTGAATCTTTTACTGAATGAAGGTCGCCTCTCTCTGCATTTGCTCGTCACTGCACATAAACAAACATAAGAGCAACGCATCACACACAAGTGGAATTTTTCTGCATCGAAGCCAGGTCACTGTCGGCAGGAACAGTCACCTCTAACCGTTATGTCATCTTGCCGCATATAAATAAATTATTGTAATCTATTCAATTATGTTGGTTGTATATGAAGCTTTTCATGCTTCCAGATTTGCAGTTTTATCGTCAGAAATAAAGAAACTCGAGAGCAGGCAAATGTTAAAAAATGGAAGGACGTACAATTTGCATTGGCTGCGTTGACAGATGAAGACCTAAGTGCCATGACTGAATTCAATAAAGAGCTTTACGCTGATGTCATGCCACCATCCATCGATTGAATTGGCCAATAAAAGTTATAAAAATCATTTGTTTAATCGTTTGAAATTGGTTCGGTTGCAAATAAAATTTGATTCAAGTAATACATGTATAATTTTTTCGTGTGCCAAATAAACCAACAAAAATTTTTGAGATTCGTTAACCAACAAATTAAAGTTAATTTTTAAATGATTACTAAACAGTAGTTTAGTTTAACTTAGTAAATAACTAGATTATAATGTTGGCGATGCCGATTGCGATAGAGAAAGAATTTAGGTTGCGACGGCACTGTTGATTGTGACAATAATACGGAAGAAATTTATGTGTTTTGTAAGATAAAGTAGCAATAGCAATTAGGTAGTTAATAATAACCCGATGTCCTGGGTGTCGGAGTCGGAGATTTTTGCTGAAGTCAGAATTTTTTGATAGCACGGAGTCGGATATTTTTAGGGGCCAGAGTCGATGGGACATTTTTTTATCCGTTTTGAGTAGTTTTTTCATAAAAGTCAAAAAATGGACCATTTTATGTATAAAATCGACCTAAAAAAAGGTCGTCAGCCACACGGCCACAAATCTGGGCCCCCCTGTCAAAATTTTGGCCCCTCGTCAAAATTTTAAAATCTAGATCAGACACTATGTGTAGCAATATGCAATCATCTCTTCCTGAAAATAAACGCTAATAACGTGAATGAAATCACATATTTTTTGGGTATGTTGTAAAACGTAAATATTATGTAATTTTATTATGACAAACATTTACATTGACTGATTTTAAGTGCTTTTTGAAATATTTTTAATTTTTTTTACAAAATAAGGTGATATTATGATACAAAAGTTGAAAAATATTCCTGGAATTTGGAATCCTGAGCTGAAGTCGGGAGTCGGAAATTTTTACCCGGAGTTTGATTTTTGAGGGGCTGGGGAAGGAGTCGGATATTTTTTTATCCGCCGATATAAAATGTTAATATTTTTTAGTATTTATTTTATAAATAAGTACTCAGATTTGAAATTTTGAAGCGGCCTGAATAAGATAGCTGCATTTGACAACTGAAAAATGTTAATCAATTTATCATTTAAACAAAATCATTGGTTCGGAATGGAAATTAATTAAAAAAACTTTTAATTCCCACACGACGTCAGTTTCGATTGTAAACAAACAAACAGAAAAAGCATGAAAAATGAAGAACGCCATCAATTTACATCCAAATATTTTCTTCATCCAAGTTCTCGTCATGTTAAATAATAATTTCTCGATAAGTAAGATTATATCGTTTGAGAATTTTTAAATTAAAACTGTTCATTGATTCATAACGTTGAATCGGGTGCATAAATGGCATTTACTTTTAAAAAAACTTTCATGGCTGTAGCCTATATGACAGAAGAAATTTTAATTTTCCATAATTGCAATTTTAAGGACAATTATATTCCACGAAAAATAAAATAATCGCTTCGTGGTGTTATTTATTAATAGTGTTACTGAATAATTATTAAGTATATTATAATAAAACTTAATTAATTCTGGCAAGTTATATAAAACGAAACAAGCAGTCATTGAATAATTTAGTATAAAAGCACGCGGCTATGATGTACCTGGGCTGATAGCATGAAGTTATCAGCTCAGAAATGACCAGCTTTTTTTTCGGAATGTCGTTAATTACCACGCAGCCATCTGGCCGTGCTCATTCGCGGCTACAAAAATTTCAATTTTATAGAAAATTATTTGATTTTTTTTTATTTTTTTGCGCCAATAATGACAAATCTAACGCTAAACTCAAATTTTATTTCTCATTAAAACGAAAACTGTTCATTGCAAAATCAATTATATTTAATTTTGGCATCAAGTTTTAGCAAGAAGTTGAAATAAATTTCGTAATGACTCGCAGATTTAAAGATCGTCCATGCCGACAGGAATGGTAAGCGTGGATATTATATGTAATAATATACAAGGATCTAGTTGTAATTGAATATAGTATGATAATATAATACACAATGTAGATATAATTGAAACATCAACTCACCGATTGAAACATTATTTCTTCATATTGAACAAAAATATAGTGTTCCATAATTTCTCGTGATCGTTGGCACCTTTGTTATGGCTGCGTTATGTTGTGATGCATTTTTGTCCCGTATCACTTTACTTTGCGTCATAAAACGGCTGTGTAATTTTCTGCTACAAAAAATTTTTAACAAAAGCCAAATGCATCAAATATGAAATAATTTGGGAATTACGAAAAATATGATGTATGATGAATATTAAATTTATGAAATCATGACGTAATAAACAAACTTCAAAACTGCAGATGCAAGCGAACTCGCTCCAATTGTCGTGCTCGAGAAGAGATTAAATGGTGGTGGTCTTAAGTTCCTTCCACTTGAAATAAAATTAAAAATTCACTCATCTTGAATGTTTTAATCCACACTACTACTGACCTAATTTAAAATTGAATTTTTTTTTATATATAACATAACTATCATTCTTTTTAACTCGATTTTAAATTTATAGCATGAAAGACTGATAAAATGAAAGAAAAAAGAATGAAAAAGATGTTATAAAATAATAGAAGAAGAATAATAACTATGGTAGTATTATTATTAATATTTGAACGAACGACGACTTGAAAGACACGCAGAGACTGTGGGACGTTTACCTCGGCTGCTTCAGGGAGCTGCAGAAGCTGCGCTCCACGCACGTCACCCTCGTCAGCGGCTGCCACGATCGTTGCGATTCCAGATACTTTGGAGTCACGGTTATCAGGCTGATGGAGTGAATGTACAAATAGATGAATGGATGGATGAATGAATTAATAAATGAACGAACGAACGAATGAATGAATGGACGAATGAATGGATGAATTAATGAATGAATAAACAAACCAACGAGAAAACAATACAAAAGTTGTATGTGATATATATATATATATATATATATATATATATATATATATATATTACAGAATATAAAATAGAAACTGCCTGGGTTGAAATAAAACTATAGAGATGTAACTTTTACGAACTCAGAAGAAGATGAAATGACGTAGAGCTGGCATGAAATTTGTAACGAAAAATTTTCTTATTCAGCCACAAACAAGCAGGGCACAAGTGATGCAAACAATTCTACAGTTCAAAAAATTTAGATTGAATGTAAAAAGAAGAATTTCTTCGACTGATGTCAAACGTTTTTTCATTTATTGTGTATTTAGTAATAAGATAGTGAAAATTTTTTTCACAATTTGGTAGTTGGATTTGCGAGTTGGAGTCAAATTATTTTCAAGTAAGAACTTGCAGTTGGTGTCGGGCAGAATTTTATAAAACTGAAACTCACCGAAAATAAGCTGATGAAAGAATGGAAAGTTTATTGAACAAATCATTCCAATTGCTGAGTGATTTTTCAAAATACTCTGCTAATCTCTTCCCGCTCCTTCTCGTCGTCTTCCTCCTTTATTTTATTTTATTTTATTTTACTTCATTTATTTATTTTATTATTTTTTAAAATACAATGGAAGCTTTTCATTTGCTGGAGGCTTAGGAACGTCAGTTCGCGCCTCACTATTTTCTGTTTATGTTTATTCCTCTTTTTCATCCGACCGTACATCAGCGTCATCATCATCATCGTCATCATCATCATCATCATCATAATCATCATCATCATCAACATTTTGGTCATCATAATCATAATCATCATCATCATCATCATCAACCAAGGATGGGCAATATTGTTTCTGTTCGGACAGGGTGGACGGCAAGGTGCTAGACAGCTACTGCCCCCTCAAGTGCGCCGATGGGACCCCCTGCGGTGGAACAAACTTCTTCTCTGTTTATGCAAGTTGGTTGGCAGTTCAATTGGAATAATTCATCTCTGTGGTCAGTTAAAAACTAAACAAATGTTTGAATGAATAGTTGGTAATGAAGGTGAACAACATTGCAGTCTTTGTTGTGGTTGAAGTTGATGTGGTTGAAGTTGTTGTGGTTGAAATTGATGTGGTTAAAGTTGTTGTGGTTGAAATTGATGTGGTTGAAGTTGTTGTGGTTAAAGTTGTTGTGGTTAAAGTTGTTGTGGTTAAAGTTGTTGTGGTTGAAATTGTAGGGGCTGAAGTTGTAGAGGTTGAAGTTGTTGAGGTTGATGTTGATGGGGATGAAGTTGTTGATACATCAATTATTGTAGTAGTTGTATCTGTTGTGGTTGATGTTGTTGTTGCAGTGAAACACATATGCCTGAGTGATTCATTTTGAAATTGGTTACTGGAATAAATAAGTTATTTAACTTAATTAAAAAAACAATTTTAACCTGCAAATAAGTTTGATGGTTGTGTTGACACCGCAAAATTTTTGAATCTGTGCATTTTGTTGCAACATTTTCTAACATTAAATCAATTATGAAGTCAATAATTTTGTGCACAATGAATTAAACACATTGTGCACAACTAAATTAACATCGTTTCATCCAATTTTTTAATCTTTTTGTCATTCTGGTCTGCCACATCCCCTACTTCTACCCAAAAACCAGGGAGGGGGCATGTACAAAGTTCTGTAAATAGGAGCTCTTTAAGAATTGTGTGAAAATAATAATTATGATATTAATGATAACATTAATAACAATAATATTCACTAATATTTGGCTAAGCAGCAAATTTTTTTGCAGAGCCGATAAACAAGAGGAGCCTGATTGGATGTTTCCAGCAGGGAGAGTTCGACCTGGAGCCAAACAGGACAGGCGACGAGGAGTGCAGGCAGGAGTGCACCGGAACGCGTAACCCATTCATGGCTGTGCTGGTTGCATTAATTAATTAATTAATTAAACTAATTATTTATTTATTTAATTAATTAATAGACGATTGTACATAGTGAATAATGAATTAATAAACATTTTTCAATTTATTTATCCTGCTACTGATGATTTTTTTAAACTCAGCTGTTTCAGGGTCAATTTATTTTTTTCATTAGTATTAAAATTAGCCTGACGTTTATTTTTTTAACTCCTCTATTTAATACTCATCTCTTAGATCTTCATTTTTGTGGTTAAATAAATAAATTTTTTTTGTCTAAATTAATTAATTAGTTTATCTAAATAAATAAATTAATTTATTTACGGATCACTCACTAATCTATTCAAAAAGTTGATCAATTCTTTCTCTTATTTATTTATTCATTAATTAATTCAATCATTCAACCAATCATTCAGTCACTCATTCATTCAATCAATTCACCACTGAATTGGCGACAAGACCCACAGAAGATGTTTCTGCAGCAGGTCGTTGAGGTTGCGGGGACAGCAGTCACTGGTCCAGTGCGTCGATCCTGGCAGGCCTCTCTACCTCGTCTACCAAAGTTAGTCCTGTGCTGTAAGAATTACTGATCCAAATTGACGGTTGTTTGTTTCTGCAAATTATTTTCTTCTTGGTCTACTTAGTTGGTTTTTTTATCAACATTTTGACAGTCATCCAAAGTCGATAAGACTGTTATTTATGTTTTCTTACGCGCGATGTACATTTGCATAATAATAAATGTTTTGTTTAGTTTATTTTGATATAGCGACTATCCAGCTCAATTCCCTCCATGCATATCAGCCAGGGTTTATGTCGCTGCTTTTTCGTTTTCGATCAAAATTCCTGATTTAATCAATTTTTTCTCACTATTTTAATACTTGCTTGCGTTGGAAAAGTGGTGGCAAGTTTACAAACATGTTATGTTCAGTGCGAGGGTTGCTTTAATGTTTGCATTCCAGAATTGTAGTGCGGTAGGTAGTTAATTTAGTTTTGATCATGTAGCATGCTGATGGAGACATTCTTTGGAATGTACATTCTGGAGTTACTTTGCTATGTTGCGTTTCTATTCTATTTAATGTTGATTGATAACATCTTGCTGAACGATTTGTAAAAACATGTTCACTTTGGTAATTAAAAATGGAACGAGTTTATAGCATGATTGAAATCAACAAGTGGAGGGCAGCCACAAGACAATTATTTACAACAACAAAACCGACATCTTCATTTCAAACATATATACATCATCATCATTATCGTCATCCTCATCATCATCAGCATCGTCATCATCATCATCATCATCATCATCGCCATCATCAACAACAACATAGACATCCCCATCATCGACGAACACAACACCAACAACACCAACACAGTCGTCACAAAAGTTGGCTTTCCATTTGGCCTGCGGACCACTCACTTCTGCTTGAACGATGATTCAGAATGGAGGAAGCCCCACTGCAAGCAGGCTGTTTGTGTGCAGGGCTGGAAGGGCGTTCTCTGTATGGACAGGGGTCCGTTTGCTGCTTGTCAATTGTGCTGAGAATTTTTGTATTGCAGTAACAGAATGATTCTAATTTGCTTGTTTCAAATTTTGTAATGCTTTTATGATCCGGTGGACAGCAGGAGGCATCCATTAAATGTTGCAGTGGTTGGACATTGATCTAAACACATTCAATATTTAAATAAATAAATAACAGTATATACAAATACACTTACTCCCACACACACACACACACACACACACACACACACACACACACACACACACACACACACACACACACACACACACACACCAACAAACAACGAACAACTCCATGGTGTTGAAGACTGCAAGCAGAGCAACGGTCACTGTGGGGAGCTGAACTGCTTGATGACGTCTGCCACAAGCAGGGAGGGAGCTGGAGATTGTTTCTGCGAGGATGGAATGTCGCTAACCAACAAAACTTGTAAAAATTTTTTTGGTGAGCTCCTTTTTTTTAGAAACATCGTGATTTTCAACTTTTTAACGGGATTACTCCTTAGCCCTCAAGCTAAAGTATTCAATGAACACAATTCGTTTCATTTTTGAAACATCACCATTTCATTTGACAAGTTAGCTCTGACGGTAGGTGTGCCATATATGAAAAAGTGTTTAACAATCGGTGGCCTGGTTCAAGAAGGGTGTAAAATTAGAACTTCCTTATACACATTGTGCGTACGACGCAGTGCTTGTACAAACGTGTATTTACATTTCCTTATGTAAACTCACAGTCAACAGACTTCTTTAATAGATTTGCATAATTGAAAATAGTCAACCATAACAATATCGTCAACTTTGATTATGAACGATAGATACATAACATTAAGTTGAGATCCAACCCACACCACGCACACAATGCAATGAAACAACGACACCAAACAACTTCCACGAACTACACGCAGAGGAGCCTCACCTGGTGGCCGCCAGGAGCCAGCCGTCGCAAAGCATCGTCATCATGACGATCGTTCTGTCGATCATCCTCCTCTCCAGCCTGGCTGTCTTCGGTAACCACGTCTTCAAGAAGTACAGGAACACGTACTTTGTTGGCGAGTACGAACATGAAGAGGGAGAGGAGGAGGAAGAAGAGAGGGCGGAGGAGGATGGTCTGCTTGCAATTTTTTAACATTTTCAAAAATTTTTTCATATTATATATATGTTTTTCAATATTTCAATATTTTTTTCGTATTATATATATATATTTTCAATATTTCAGTATATTTGCTCGAAATTTCCACAAAAACAAATATGTGATTTGATGAATAGCACAAATATATACAAATTATTATTAATAGCATTTATGTAGCGCCTTTTCAAAATCTACAGTCGATAGAAAAACGAAATGAAGTTGGCGAATGATCTTCGTCAGCACTCTCATTAGTATTAATACGAAATAATGGACAGCAAGATACTGCCTTGACGCTAATTCTTTTCAAATGATCAACGACGTCCAACGCATCAAACCTTTCCACATTACCAGCGTCATAAAAAGTTTTTTGTTTTGTTTGCGATATTTGATAATCGTTTGTGACGACTTTCGGCGATGCACTGTTTTCATTGGTGAGCAACTTGCCGTTCGAACGTGTTGCATTAGAACAACTACGACCGATTTATATTTCATTGGTAGTTTTAACAATTTTGTTACATTTAGAAAATGTTTGTAAAAAATTGTTGAAAACACTCGCCAGAGTCTGACTGGCTTTAATTTCTGAATCAGAGCTAGGTATGATTAAAGGAGCTACTTTCGTTGCCTGTAACTACAATTTGGCTTGTTAACTTGCCGGTGAACGTTTTTCATAATATCGTCAAACGTCTCGCTATGCTTTTCGAGATAAAGCTTAAATTCCTGCTTGCATCTATTAAATCACTGTTTCCAATGGGATTTCGCATTTCAAATTTTTTTCCAACAATAAACAAACAAATGTAGAAAATATTTCCTCAAATTCTCCTTTTCAAATAAATTTGAAAACGAAAACAATTTTTCTAAACCCCTTATATTTACTGGTGCCCGTAAATTTAGGCAGTTCTATTTGCCTTCTTGAATTTGTTATTTTTTTGCTGTCAATCAAATGATGAAGTGTAAAATGTTCAATAAACGCGTTCACTAACTTAACTTTATCTCTCAAGTTTGACCACAAACAAAAATTCACGGTAACGAAAACAAGATTATATGTATATAAAATGAAAATGGATATATATATATATATATATATATATATATATATATAATCTTTTTTCTAAAGTTGGAGAGAGGGAGTCATCAGAAATAGTACCAGAGTCTGCAGCAATTGTGGCGGGTTGGTTGCCCTTCTGAATGGTTGTTTGTGTCTGCGATTATTACTTACAAGCCATCTAATTTTATTTATCATTTCTATACCCTTCCAAATTTTTTCATTAGAATTGTAATTATTTTAACGTGAAAGTAGCTTATGGCCCGTTAATTAATTAGAGAAACTAATGAATGATACAAAAATACAGCCGTTTTATTCGTGGTGATGAATTAAATATGTTAGCAAAAACTTGAATAATAAAAATTCATTAAAGCTTCGAGAAGCAAAACGATCTTGAATGCTTCAAGCAGCAAAGTGACAGTGAAGTCGCCAGCTGATGGTTTACATGATTTACAAATGAAAGGTTAAAAACAATTTTCGTTCCTGCATAAAGCTATGCTTATTGTGGTTCATCCGAAATACATGTATTAACATGTGCTGTTTCAGACTTTTTGACACGTAGTTTAAAATTGGCTTTTGTTAAATTCACCAAAACTTATTAAAAATTAACATTTTTACCATTTAATTATGCTGCAGGAAGTTTGGCACCCGAAAACGTTGATTAGGTTCATGAGGTTTGAAGGGATAGGTCGGAGGTGCACGTGATGGAAGTACGTGATTGTTTTTTATATTTGGCTGCATTCATTTATCGCGAGAGAGTATCCTATCCCGTTAAATTATTTCAGTTGTTGCTTAAACAGATATTTTTATATTTGAATGTTACAGAAAATTTTTCGAGTTGAATAGAAAACTGTTTTTATTTTTTATTTAGACGAATTTGGAAAAAGTTACCTTATATAGAGCGGAATGTTTTCAACTCAATTGAATATTTGTGATGCAGTTTATATGAAACATTCAAAATCACCTTTGCATGCAAAGATGTTTTAATTTGCACTGTTATGTTATGTTAAAAACGTACACACACTACTGATGCGAATGTTAAACTTTTATTAGTTACACAAATAAACTAAACAAGCTTTTCATTAAAGTATTTTTTAAATTTTTATCCAGGTAAACAGTTTTTTAGAAAAAACAGAAAGAACAAAAATTTAAGAAAAAAACGCAAGACTTATTTTGTCCAAATTTTTCAAGGCATATTTAAACGATGATTCAAAATGTTCAAAAATTTTTAAATTTGAGTGAAAAAAATTGTTTGAAAATATGTTGAATAATTTAAGTGTAACCTAAACATCAGTTCATTTGTTAATTTTCACGTTACATTTCATAAAGAAAAAATTGAAAAAGTTTTGAAAACAAAAAACACCGATGATATAAAATTTTAAAAAATATGCAACACTTTGAAATTTACAATAAACATTTCAACAAATCAGAACAATGATTTTAACTTTTAGATTTGAAAAGATGAAACAAAAATTAAAACTTTCTATGAACAGTGTGCACACATCACATCAAGTACGGCCACCATTGAAAAAACAAAACAAAATATTATTACTTTCTCAATAGACAATAAAGCAAATAATTATCTCGGGCTCATCCTACATGAGACGAAATCTACACAAAATTCAGTTTGCGTGACACGTTGCATGTTCACATGAGGAGGATGTTGCATGTTCGCATCAGAGGATGTTGCATGTACAGTCTTTGATCTCCTCCACAAGAGGGGTGGCGGGTAGGAGACTTGATGACGGCTCCTGGAACGGTCCATCTAAATACAACCTGCACAGCATAGAAATATAGTTGAACAAACTTTATTGTTTCTAAATACGACAATTAAAAATTTTAGAAAGAACATTTAAAAAAATATAATTGTCTCCACGTCAAAATTCTTTTTTAAAATAAATTTTGAATTGATCATTTTCAATTAACTATATTACTAGCACCAACATTACCAAAAATCAGGAATTGCGCGAGAAATGTTAAAAAATAATAAATAATTCTATCAGAACAAAGTTAAGATTTACAGCAACTTGGGCGTTTTTTTACACTCCTGTTTATATATGCTTGAGGAATTGAACTGTAAAGAGAAGAAACAAGAACAGACTGGAAACGTATGAAATGGAGCATTTTCAATTTCTTTTCAATATTTTTCAAAAGAATCAAGAAGCACGCACTGTATGTAAGTGTACGTAAATCAATGCATTCCGCACATTGTATGCATTTGAACCCTGTCACTTCAACTAAAAACAGAAAATAAAAACAAATCATAAAAAACAGCATAGGAAAAATATTAAAAATGAAAAAATTCACTAAAAATTCAGGACTCTTTCGACACATTTGCAACAGGTCGATGACAGACTAATTAAAACTAGAAAAGACCCGTCAAGAAATGAATGAATGAGTTCACAAATGGAATGGATTGAGAATGTTAAAGTTAATACAATTGGCCTTAGATAGTAAAGCATTCGGAAAATTAACAAAAAACAGTTTTAAAGAATTTAAGAGGGTTATGTTGATTGACATTTTTGAATAATTTATTTTCACAGAACTGCAAAACATAAAATTCATCATCATCGTTATTATCATCATCATCATCATTGCCACACTCACGTGACCTGACGAGATAGACCAAACACCTCCTCCTGCCAATCCTCCACCTCTTCCTGCCCCTCCCCGATGTTGACCACTCTCCCTGCTGGACGGTCGACTCACCGCCATCTTGTTTGTGCCAGATGTTCCTCAGTGGGTAGGTCACTGACTCCACACTGATCACGTTCCTGTCTGTTTTGATAGGAGGTGGTGGTGGTGGTAATGTAGGGTGGTCGTTTCAAAATTGGTTTCGTCAGATGACATTTTTATGACAACTAAATAGCAATCATTTTAACGTCATCAAAAACAACCCAAAACTGAAAATAAAAACAACAATAATTACAGTAAAAATAAGAACAGTAACAACATTAGTAACAACAACAATGGTTTTTATTTTGGATGCTCACTTATTAACGTGACCCAATTCCTGATCCTCTTGAGGGTACGACTGAACTCCTCGTACTGTGGGACGCCACTGCACATCTCCACTTTGACAGGAGATGGTATGAAAGTTCGGTAGGAGATGTAACCGGTTCTGTGAGCACCTGATCTGTAATGGCAAAGACTCGCTGCTGAAGTTCGGTCGGTATCTGGCGCACTGGAGGTGTTAAACTTTTATTTATAAACCGATAATAATTTAAAAAGAAGTTGAGAACATTTTTAAATTGTTTAAGTTAAATGTATTAATATTTTATTTTTAATTTTATTTATTTTTTAAGTTTAAATGTATCAATGTTTTATTTTTAAGTTTATTCATGAAAATTTAAGAACATTGAAGAATTTAAATGACATTTATTTTACTCACATATGTTATTGTGTTGTTTTTTGGATTACTCTTACTATGTTATTTCTTGTTTTATGGGAGTCAACCCTAGATAAGCATTTATTGCTAGGCTGACTCTTTCACTTTTTTTGTGAATAAATGGAATTAAAAAAAAATAATAGCCATAATGTAACTTGCTACCACATCGTTACCAGCCCCACCACTGACACCATCATCGTCATCATCATTTCTTTCTATATTAAAACTTTATTTTTTACTCAACTGAAAATGTTGCAGATTTAAAAAAATTCGAATTTAAAAATTAACCAATCATCGAATGGACTGTTAATGAGGTCACAATCATTTGTTCTGATTGGCTCTTTTTTGTAGGTCAGTCTGAGAAACTTTATCCTCGTGTGGGTTTCCGATTTGATGAAAAAATTATCGCTTGTGCTTATATCGCCTGTCATGGTGTGAGTTGATGAAGGTGTGAGTTGGTGAGAGTGTGAGTTGGTGAGGGTGGGAGTTGGTGAGGGTGACGATGGTTGTGAGGATGATGATGTTGGTTATTGTGAAGTTGATTACTATGTATAAAATTGTGAATGACTAAATCTTACCTGGGTTAGGTTTGTATGTGGTTTCCAACGTCTGAATGTTTGTTATACATACGTCCTGCAACAAACAACATACAACATGACATGTAATATTACCTGTAACCTAACGCCTAACATTACGTTTAAAATGTAACATTACAAGCAACAAAACATGTAACATAATACTGAACCAGGAAAAGTATATTAAACTGCATTCAAACGTTAAGAATAGGAAATAAACGCAGAACTCTTAGAAAATGCGGATAGAAAGGTAAACGCTGAGTTTTATTTTTTGGCCAACTAATCTTGTCTTGGAAAAACAAATTTTGTTAACGCATGGAACGTGGCATGTCACATCTGTAGACTATCCAAGATAAGACCGCTCGACTGATCTTTAATAAACCTCTTCGTTTTAGCTCTTCCACTCTCCTTCGACTACTTCATTGGCTTCCCGTCTCTGCTCAAATTTTTTTTTAAATTGCAGTTCTAACTTTCCAAATATTGTCATCAAACGACCTCATATCCCCCTCGAACCCGCCAGATTGCACCGCGCATCGTCTGCGGGTTTCTTAGACATTCCTATAGCCAAATCCCACCTGGCTAGCCACAGCATTCGTCACGCCGCTCCAAGTGTCTGGATCTGAAATGCGTAACTTCTTGAATTGAGACAGCGTTCCTCGTTGAGCGTCTTTTAAAATCTTATTTGAAAGTGTTTATAATTAATTTACTTTTCCACATGCAACACCAGCTTAAAAATTAACAACATCCAAGTGATTGATATTTGAGGAGTGTCAGAGTTAGGAGTTAGTTTTCCATGATTGAAACTTATCCGACTGACTCCGGGTGAAAATTTTCAATTCCATCACCCGACTTCGCAAAGTTTCATTGGGAGACGAGAACAAATACTTTCAAGTTTTGTTTGATTATTTCACATGAATGCCACTTTTAAATGAATGATACATGGCATTTAAAATCAGTCACTGTAATTGTTTTTTGTAGTAGGATTACTAGACATTTATGTCTTGAGATATACGGATTGTGATTTAACATTATGATCCTTTCATATCCACTTTTTCAATAAATCCTGTTTAACGTTTGCCGTTCATCTAACAAAGTAGCTCCCTCCAACAACACTTCTCACCATCTCTCTAATCAATATTCGTTTCTTATTTTTTAATATTTGGTTCAAGTTATGTTTTTTTTATTATTATCATCTTTATAATTATCATCATTATCATCGTCACCCTCACTATTATCATCATCATCATCATCGCCTATAAAATCATCATCATCATCATCATTATTATTACTTACACCACAATCATCATCATCATCATAATGATCATAATTATCATCATCATCATCATCACATCATCATCATCATCATCATCATCATCATCAATTTCATGCGACAGTCGGGCGGAATGTGGCGGAAAGAGTAGTAATAAAGAACTTTATTGGTCTATAACTCCTTCAAAATGAGAAATGTTGATGCGTGTGGGCGCGCGTGTGTGTGTGTGTATGCATGTGAGTATGCATGCATGTGAGTGTGTGTGTATGCATGTGAGTGTGTATGCATGTGTGTATGTATGCATGTGAGTGTGTGTGTATGTATATGAAACTTTTAACATGTGTGTATGCTTGATTTTCTCCACATGTGTGCATTTCTTGCAATACTGCGCTGTATAAATGTGTACGAATGTGTATTTGTGTAACATTTGAAAAAGTTGCTCCTATGATAATGTTGAAGAAGTGTGAATGGAGCTTGAGCCAGACTGTGTGTGTTGTATCGCATGTTTCGCGTGTGCCATGTAGAAGAATAGCTTAGAAGTCAAATGCAGTAATCTTTTTTAATTTCTGCACAGTCTCATCTCCAATAGTCCATCCATATAGCGACCGACCATGTCATTTGATCCCATGCAAGAGTGACCAATATGAGCCAGGAACAATAAATTCTTTCATCGAAATAAATTCACCGAGCTATGATGGCCTGTCAGACTGGCAAAGATTTCAGATAGATAATTGTCGACAACTTGAAAACGATTAACCTCGAGACAGCGTCCTGTCTAGTATGAAATCTGACAGTGATCAATCGTCAACATCATTTCGTGTTTGCGATGACAGCAAATTTCTTGATTCGATAGTCAGTGATGCTTTCTGGCTGGCTGGGGTCCGTCCGCATCAGAGGGTGGGAATTGGCCAGCAGCAACAACCCTTCCAACTGATGTTAAACTGTTAAACTTATGTTAAACCATCCACCATCTTTAGAGAAAGGAGATGGCAAAAGTTCATGGAATTATTAAACTTTTTTTTATTTGTTTATTCTCATGAAATTGAGTTTCCTTCTCTAGATTCTTTTATAATTTCGTAACTGTTATTTTTTGTCTTTGCGCTTTTGTGATGCTGATAACAGCGCATTACAAATGCTCGTAATGATAATAATTCGGAATGAGGAAACTTGCTTTTCACGCAGGTCTGTAAAAGCAATTCAAACCACAATGAATAACTTGCAACAAAAAAATTATTTTTTATTATCATATCAGTGAAAATAAAAACAAAAACATGACACAGAATAAACAATCTTGGCATGAAACTTGCATAAATGTTTAGTGGATACAAAATTTAAGAGCGTACAACATTTGAATACACGTCACCAACGACAATGAATAGAAAACATTTTTAAATAACTTATTACTAATAAAAAAATGTACATACAACACATTCTAGTTAGAGGCGCATAACAAATAACACGCAGCAAATCTGACACGGTCGGATGTGCCCCATAGACTCACATTTCAAAATTCAACAACTCATTCACGTGCCAGGATTGATCGAACGAAAGAGAAATCTCATAAGGTGTTGTATTTATTGTTATAATTTAAATTATGAAGATTAGAATTCAATTTTAGGAATAAAAATACTTTCACATCAAAAATATTTTTGGTTGGAAAATTAATTCACAGGGACGGCTGGATTTTCAAGATTAAGAGAGCTATTTTTAGCATGGTTAATTAATACCATTGTTTTGTGTCTTGAGTTATATATATATATATATATATATATATATATAAATACACATGCATATATTTATATATACATACGTACATACATATATACATATATACGTGTATATATATAAATGAGATTGTCATGATGGTGGTGGTGATAATGATAGAGTAGTTGTTGCAAAGATTTTTGCTTATGCATATAGGTTGTTGTTGTTGTTGTTGTTTTATGGAACAATTTTATTTGTTGCGGTTATTGTCGTTACGTCATCAATATTGTTGTCGTTTATGTTGTCATGGTAGGATAAAATGATATTTTGATGACTTTTTGCCAATATTTCTTGATTCGGAATTTGAAATGATGAAAACATTAGATTTGTATTATTGTATAAAATATTCCCCGATGATTCACGCTTCAGCGTTTCCTCGTTGCATTACATTTGCAGATAGAACTAATGCGCCTTGTTTCTTGTCAGGGTTATGGTAAGGGTTAGGTGTGGAATGGTGGCAATATTTTCATCAATCAAAATTGCCAAAATTTGACGACTGTTTTATAAGGAATCAGATGCTGAATAGCACCGATGAATGAATATGCGTACATATACCAATACGCGATGAAAGTTGGAAGAAACAATGAAGGAGAGCTGGACAGAAAAATGAACAGTACAACAATGCGATCAAATGAGTAGACTTAATGAAATTCTTATGCCTCCATCTACCAAGTCAATAGAATAAATCAGTCTACCCATGTGCTTGGTGGTACCCTGGATTTGATTGTTACATCGGATGGTTTTTTGTTAGAAGATATATTGGTGTACCCATCTGGTATCTATTCAGATCATGGTTTAGTAACTGGTCAATTTTCAATCAATCCAACTCCAGTCATTTTCAAGAAATCGTGGATCAGATCCTGGAAACGAGTGGATAAAAAACGTCTGACTGAGCTTTTGAGGTGCTCACCTATCTCGAAACATTATGGTCAGGATGATGATGTCGAATTGGGTTTTAAAATATTTAATGAAGAGCTTTTAAATTGCTGACGATGTTGTTCCACTTCGTGAAGTTCGATGGAAACATGTCCCGACTGCCCCATGGTTTGACAGTGACTGCAAAAAGGCTAAGCAAATGTGTCGAAAAAAAGAAAGAAGGTTCAGAACTACTGGTTGTTAATGATAAAGTTGATTGGGTACTGGTAATGAAACAAAAGAATGTTTGTTACTCGTGAAACGAAAGAGTTTTTGGTTCGCGAAAACATGTCAATTTAAAAATAATTCCAAATACTTATGGCAAACGATTAATAAATTATTAGGAAAAGAGACAAGTGTTGAAAATGAAGTTGGTTCAATGCATAGCGCCGATGATTTTAAAAAATTTTTCGCTGACAAGTTGAAAGTGACCGAAAGGTCAACTGAATGTTTTAATTTTCCAGTTATTTCTACTAATACTAATATTATGTTTCCACTTGAATCGTTTCCAATGTTGACTGAAGAACAGATATCTAAAGTTGTTAATTCATCACCTACGAAGTCATGCTCACTCGACCCAATACCGACGCATGTATTCAAAGAATATACTGACTGTTTTATTGTTTACTTAACGGACTTAATCAAGGGTGTAATGCAACGAAGGGTGTAATGCAACAGGTTTGCAATGCAATTGTCACGCCAATTCTAAAGAAGACAGGATTAGATAAATCAGATCTGATAAACTATAGGCCGGTGTCAAATTTGTCTTTCGTTTCTAAAATTATAGAACGTTACGTTGAGTTAGTTTTAAATAATAATATAAGTAAAAATGGTATTTGGCTTTTGCATCAATCTGGATACAGAAGGTTTCATTCGACCGAAACAGCTCTATCGGATATATTCTCTCATGTTTATTCAGCAGTTAATGTACAAAAAGTAACTTTGTTGACATTCCTGGACATGAGTTCGGCGTTCGATACTGTGAATCATAAAATCCTGCTGGACAGACTGAAATATTGTTATGGTTTAAATAAGATTGCGTTAACGTGGTTCGAATCATTTCTTACTGGTCGGACTCAGCAGATTTTTTACTCAGGTGGTCTTTCGGAACCAATGAAACTTACGTCAGGGGTGCCTCAAGGATCTGTTCTTGGACCGATTCTTTTTAATTTGTACGTTGCAGAGATATTGGATTTACTGAATAAAGATGGTTATTATTGCCATGGGTACTCAGATGACAAGCAGATTTGCGTTTCATGTTTCCCAGATGAGATGCCTACCGTATTAGAGAAACTGACAAAAACTATATCTGATGTCGGCTCGTGGCTGGGTCAAAGTAGGCTAAAGTTGAATCAGACTAAGACTCAGTTCATGTTGGCTGGTACATGGCAACAAAAGTCAGCGGTTGAACCTTCATCGATTAACATAAGCATGACTGATAAAAGTTTCAGTAAAACGGTTACCAATTTTGGAATTGTGATGGACTCCCGTATGACAATGAGTCCACAAGTCAGTCTATTGGTTAAAAAATGTATGTTCCAACTACGTCAATTACGTCAAGTCACAAAATCGGTAGATAGAGATACAATGACTCTTTTAGTACATGCTTTCGTCAACTCTAGATTGGATTGTTGTAACAGTCTTCTATATGGCATAGCTGATAAACTGTTGTCTAAACTTCAGATGGTTCAGAATCAGGCTGCTAGAATGATATATCGCAAATTAAAATTTGATAATGCATCACCAATTCTAAAGGAGTTGCATTGGCTGCGTGTTAAACAAAGAATCGTGTTTAAGTTGGGTGTAATGGTATTTAAAAGTTTGAATGGTCTGGCTCTGAAATATTTAGAAGATAAGTGTATTCGAGTTTCATCTATGTCATCACATGGGCGTCTAAGGTCTGCTGATTCAAACACGCTGTATGTTAGAAATCGGAATCTGAAAACAGCAGATAGAGATTTTGCAGTTGCTGGGCCTATTTTTTAGAACAGCCTACCTATCGAACTACGTATATCCGGGTTATCATTAGCTGAGTTTAGAAAACGTCTAAAGACATATCTATTTTTTAACTCCTAGTGATCTCAACCGATGATGGCTTCGCTTTCAACATGCTTCATACGAGGAGAGCGCTGATGAGAAGCAATTATAATTGGCGCTATATAAATACAATATTTGATTTGATTTGATAGTATAGTATAGTACAGTATAGTATAGTATAGTATAGTATAGTATTTACAATACAATACAATACAATACAATGCAATACAATACAATACAATACAGTAAAATACAATATAATACAATACAATACAGTATAATGTAATGTTATATAATATAGTATAATATAGTGTGATGTGATTTGATATAACATGATACCATATTACATTAATTTTTTTGAATCTTATTGAAATTGAAACATTCATCACTTGACCAACATTGATGTACAATATAATACATACACGCACACCCACATACACACACACACACACACGCAAACACACGCAAACACACACACACAAACACACACACACATATATATATATATATATACACACATGCTGGTAAAAGACCATAAATTACTGAGCGTATATATTTAGAAACATGTTAGCGAAAACATAATTTGGCTAACAACGTCGTCACTTGCTCTAAAAATTTACAAATTTACAACAATTCCATATCGTTGAGTGCATTTTCTAAAAAGTAACTAATACTAAGTGGGCAGAAATATTCAATGTACTTTGTATAGCTGGAAACCAATCGTTTTGAATTAACGGTTTTGTGATAACTGTTAGATAACTTTTGCTAATTTTCAGGAAAAAAAACGACAAAAACTTTTTTATATATGTAGATTTTCGCCGGGCGACATTCGAATTCCACACCACGCGGTCCCGAACCGCGTCCGCATACGAATATCCACCCGAGCCTTCGCTTCGGCAGAGTCTTTCCTGGCCGGGATCCGCCCCTCTACAATAGACCCTCTCAGGGTCTGAAAACACGAGCCGGGCAGAAAATTGTTCGCGCCCTGCTTGTTGCCTAGAGACGCCGACCTCGTCAACTATCAGCAAGTCTTCTTCAACATCCATTATTTTAGGTAGAATAATTAAGCCGAGCCAAACTTCAAGTGTACACTTCTTTTATTCAATAAAAGAAACAAAATAACAAACAAAATAATACAAATCAAACCTCTGTCTTTATTAAAAAAAAAACTAAAAATCCAAAATTAATCTATTAATAATACAACTACCAAGCAAGAAACAAAACCTAAAATAAAAATAACAAACGACCAGCCTCCTATATATCTCAACTCGCGGCCTTTTATATGTTTTTACCGTCCTATCTACATAACGCTTTCTATATCATAGAAAATTCTATACTCACATCTATACTCGTTTCCTATACTCAAAACAGCGCGTAGCACGCGTCCCATATATTGCTATACTCCCTATATACAAAACATATACAGCGTCGCATATATAGCATATCAAATAACAAAATATACATGCATAGAATGTCTATTAAAATATATAGATATATACAGGCTGCACGCCTCAAAGACGCAATCATTATCATCACAATCGTCACAATTTCACAAAATATACAGGCGGCATATTTCATATTTCAATCGCGCAATCATTATCATCACAATCGTCACAATTTCACAAAATATACAGGCGGAATATTTCAATCGCGCAATCATTATCGTCACAACTTCACAAAGCTCCCCACCCTCTAAAACGTCGTCCCGACGTTTGCTCTTATAGATCTTCACCAGACTCAGGAACTAGCTCCGGTCCCCACCTCGTCGGTTTCCTTCTTTTTCTTTTTGTTGTGGCCGTCATGCTCGATTGAGTTTCCGTCAGTTGCTGATCGTTTTCTGTCGGTTGTTCGTCCAGACCAGCAAACAGGTCCATCGATGGCTGGTTACCTACGGCAAACAAATCTGGTCGCTGATCAAAGAGTTCGTCAGCAAGCTTCACAAGTTCTGGAACGTTGTCCGGCTGCCCTGGTAAAAATTCTGGCGTATCTTCGCCTGTCCAGGTTTGGACAAGCGGCTCGGTCGACTTGTCGCTACTTCGTGATGGTGCTTCTGTTGGCTCCCCTATGGAATCGTCTTCTGCGATGTCTTTAGGCTCAACCTGTTCCGCAATCACTTTCTGATGCGCCGGAGGATGTCGCCTCAGCTGTTGTTTTACCGGTCGTGCATCCTGAGTATCAATCTTATGAAAAACTCCTTTTGCAGCACCTATTTCCCCACTCGCACAGCTTAATCTGTCTGAAAAACTTTTAAGTATTTGAATCAACTCTTCTCTCGCTTTCTTAGAAATATCTTTTACTAATCCATCAACCATACCTGTAACTTTTGTTAGATTCTCATATGCTAGACGATCAACTGATTCCTTTGCTTCCACAGCCGATGATAAATCTGGCAATCGCGTTCCCCGGTTTATCACCCTCGGTTGATCGTTGACATTCAAGATCCTAACACACTGTCCTTCATATTTTATAGGTAGTAACGTTCTAGCTACATATACACCCGATTCTATTTGTCTGTTTTCCGAACACATAAATCCGGTCGATTCCAACTTGGACGGCTGGCGAACAATCATCTTTGCTGGCACGTCTAATTCAGTCTGCGCAGGGATGCGCACTTCTGTGTGAGCTTCAATACGACAAAGCTTCCTGCATGAAAAATGTTTAATAACTAATTTCATCGTTCTATTTTTGTTACCCACGGCGATTTTTCCTTCGCCAAACTTCCACGAGATATGATTGTTCCTGAGCCAATCTAAACCTAAAACAATTTCTGAAACATGATCAGACACCAACACTAACGCTGATTTGGAATAATCATCAACTTTAATTTGCAACTTCATTTCTCCTTTGACTGGAATTTCTGTGTTGTTGACAGCTTTCAATCTTTTTTTCGTCGGTCTGATCTTTGTGACATCAACCATAGACGTTGGAACAATGGATACACTACTGCCACTATCAAGTAAACCTAATCTTCTTTTGCCATTAATTGTGATTGGCAGATACATGACACGATCGTTACTTTCAATTGACTTGTTCACGTAATCTACTGTGATGCTTGTCATTCCTTTCTGCGGGCACTCCCTCACAAATGACCTGTCTTTCCACATTTGTAACAACCTTTGAAATTCACTTGACTATAAGTTTGAGATTTGCAGGTCTCATTCTCCTGAGGACATTCGACTGCAAGATGACCTGGCTTTTTACAATTGAAACAAATTTTTTCTCGCTCAACTCGGGATACCGTTGGCTGCGCTCTTTTATTTCTGAGTTCTTCGAATGACTTTTGAAGGAACGCAATCTGTCGTACCATCGACTCCATGTTTTCTGCTCCTGCTTGTAAATCTTTAACCTGCGGGTTAAACCTGTGAAATGAATCTACCACCATCTTTGAAACTTCAAGACGCTGTGCAAATCAAAGAGCATCGTCAATGTTCTTTGGTTCTTTTTCCCTAACCTTTAACTCTAATTCAGCATTATCGAGGGCTGACAAGAAAAAGTCCCTAGCTAGATGTGTAGCTAATCTTGACTGCTCTCCTGGATAGGCTAATGACATGAGTCTTTTAGTAACCATCGACAACTCTCGTAACGACTCACCAGGTTTTCGACGAAGAATCTGTAATTCGTATCTGTATGACTCTTCATGACCTCTTGTTCCAAAACGATCTTCTAGCTTAGATACCAGCTCTTGGTAACCTAAACCTGTTAAATCCCAGAGAACCTGTGAAGCTTCACCTGTTAACGACATGACAAATACGCTTCCATGTCTACGAGATTCCAATTATTGTACCTGGCACATATATCAAACTTTTTTAAGAAAGTTTTGAGACAGCCGGTGCCATCAAATCTGTCAGGTCGAAGCAATTCGCGACGACAAAAGTCGTTGTCACGCTCGGCACCTATACGCGGTTGATGAACCTGAGACTTCACACCAGTTGAATGAAGCGGTTCCCGACTGTCACACGTCGACTTGTGTTCAACTCTGTCTCTCTCTCTCATTCGGTCGCTCTGCACCTGTTGCTGTTACCTAAAATTTTATTTTGCCATGATCTACTGGACACTAACTGCAGCTCATTCAGTCCGAACTCCTGCAACTTTGGATCACCCTTGCACCTAAAACCTAAAATATCCTGTTTGGGGATAAACCTGTAACCTAAATTGTTCGCTGAAAAATCCTGTCAACAATTTCAAAACGATTGTTGTTTAAAACAATTTCATTTTGTTGGCTGGCGGGCGTTGAAAGTCTGCTCGAGGTTGATTTTCGATCCTCCTTCGGTTCCTGTGACCTAAAATCTAAAAAAGTTTTATGTTGTCGAACATGGCACCTGTCACCTAAAAAATTTGGAGAATCACCTTGGCTCCTGCTGCACCTAAAACATGTAATGTTTGAAAAAGAAGCCCCACGTTGGGCGCCAATTGTAGATTTTCGCCGGGCGACATTCGAATTCCACACCACGTGGTCCCGAACCGCGTCCGCATACGAATATCCACCCGAGCCTTCGCTTCGGCAGAGTCTTTCCTGGCCGGGATCCGTACACTTTACAATAGACCCTCTCAGGGTCTGAAAACACGGGCCGGGCGGAAGTTTGTTCGCGCCCTGCTTGTTGCCTAGAGACGCCGACCTCGTCAACTATCAGCAAGTCTTCTTCAACATCCATTATTTTAGGTAGAATAATTAAGCCGAGCCAAACTTCAAGTGTACACTTCTTTTATTCAATAAAAGAAACAAAATAACAAACAAAATAATACAAATCAAACCTCTGTCTTTATTAAAAAAAAAACTAAAAATCCAAAATTAATCTATTAATAATACAACTACCAAGCAAGAAACAAAACCTAAAATAAAAATAACAAACGACCAGCCTCCTATATATCTCAACTCGCGGCCTTTTATATGTTTTTACCGTCCTATTTACATAACGCTTTCTATATCATAGAAAATTCTATACTCACATCTATACTCGTTTCCTATACTCAAAACAGCGCGTAGCACGCGTCCCATATATTGCTATACTCCCTATATACAAAACAGCACAGCAGCGTCGCATATATAGCATATCAAATAACAAAATATACATGCAAAGAATGTCTATTAAAATATATAGATATATACAGGCGGCACGCCTCAAAGACGCAATCATTATCATCACAATCGTCACAATTTCACAAAATATACAGGCGGCATATTTCAATCGCGCAATCATTATCGTCACAACTTCACATATATATGTAAAAATTTGAATGATTTGGGTGAACTCTGTTCCTGCTGGATTTAGAACATGGTCCGAATGATTTCCCAAGAAGTTACGGGTACACTTTATGCATGGCTTATTTACGTTAAAATGCTTGAAAACTCTCACACATTCAGCTGTTATCCTTCATAATACCAATTTGGACGAACTATTTGATTGAAAGTGGTTTGTATTTTCTATTTCTAATTTTTATATTTTCATCCATCCATCCATTTATCGATCCATCCATCAATCAATCCATCCATCCATATTGACCTTTGAACCGTGAACCCACTCCTGCAGCTTCCTAAATGCACTGCTCATGTCCCCATATTTGGACTTGACATGAGACAAAAAACTTGAACATTTCTTTTTGTCAGGAAGGAAGTCACATGACCCTGGTGTGGTAATGATGATGATGATGATGTGTTTGGTGAAGATGATGATGATGAGGATGATGTGTTTGATGAGGATGTGATGATGGTGTTGAACACAACACATGTGGGTGACGAAGATGAAGTTGGTAATGTGAAGATAAGAATGACAATAACAAAACTGAAATTAACAATGATGATGATGTTGAGTAATATAAATTAAAAATTATCGAAGATTCGAAATGATGTTTAAATAGTTTTTCACGTAACGACTCAACGCGACATGGATGGAATGATCAAACAATTGTGGCAATCAATGGCAGGTAAGCAACAGACAAAGGCAGCGGAGAAATACTTTTGATGTCATAAAAACGAACAAACGATAAAGGTGATAAAGTAAATTCATAAATCATGAGCCATCATCATTGCCGTCGTTATTGCGTTTGA